TACATCTGTTTCCGTTGCTAAAACAGGGAATATCGAGAGGCACTATAAAACTGTACATTCGAATTCATCATTCCCATTACGTTCTGCAACCAGAACGGAAAAGCTGAAACAATTAAAAAATCAGTTAATTGGACAACAGACAATGTTTTTAAAAACAATCGACAAAAGTAAGGCTGCAACTGAAGGATCGTACCGGGTGTCCCAGATAATTACACAAAAGGAGAAACCTTATGAAGACGGGGAAATGATGAAGCATGCGCTTTTAGAACCTGCAGATTCATTATTTGCCAACTTAAGAAATAAAGACGGGATAGTGTATGCTATAAAATGTATGCAACTTTCTGCTAATGTGTGATGAGACGAGTAGAAGTACTGAGCAATGATATAGTTTTACAGTTAAGAAATGACTTCGATGACTGTGCTTATTTTTCACTGCAGCTGGATGAATCCACAGATGTCGTTGACACTTCTCAGATGGCCGTGTTCGTCAGGATGGTTTTTAGTGATTTTACGATTAAAGAATATCTTTTGAAGTTTATTCCACTAAAAGGGCAGACTACTGGGCAGGACTTGTTTCCTTCTTTGAAAAATATTATTTCTTCTGAGAAAATTCCAATATCGAAAATGGTAGGCTTGTTAACCGATGGCGCTCCAGCTAAGGTGGGTCGTGATAAGGGTCTCGTGGAGTTATGTCGTAAAGATGAAAATTTTCCGCAATTTCTCTGTTACCACTGCATTAACCATCAGCAAGCATTATGAGGAAATTTTCTAAAATCTAACTACGCTATGAAATTGGTACTAAAAATAGTGGACAAGATTAGAGCTCAAGCGTTACAAGGATTATTCAAAACCTTGGCCGATGAAATTGACTGTCAATACGGGGAACTACTTCTTCACTGTGAAGTCCGATGGTTAAGTAGGAGAAGAGCACTGAAACGTTTTAATGAAATCATATCTGCCATAGTTTAATTTTTCAAACAACGTGTTGAACCGATTTTGGAACTGGAAAATTCAATCTGGCTTAGAGATGTTGTTTTTCTTGTGGATATTACAGAAAAACTAAGTGAACTTAATTTGCAGCCTCAGGGGAGAGACAAAAAACTAGCAGAAATGATTTCTGATGTAAAAGCGACTATCAAAAAGCTTGAGCTTTGGGAACAAAACTTAATCGATGGCAATACCAGGCATTTTCCTGTTCTTTCAGAAAAGATATCTCAAAGACCATTAGAACCATATGGCAGTAAATATCATATAGAAATAGTCTCTAACTTGAAGGATAACTTCAAAAATCGTTTCAAGGATTTCAACGAAATTGGTATAGTGGCGCAATTTGTTGTTTCACCCTTCATGGAAATTGGTATCCAACAGTTTGCAACTTCTGTTATGCAAAATTTTAGCGAAGACATCGCTACGACACTAATGGAAGTCATTGCGTTTCAAAATGGTTCCGCTTTAAAATCATTACTCTCAAATACAAAATGTATCTGGCCCTCAGTAAGTAAAGATAAATATTCAGTTTTATGTCGTGTTGCCTTGAAAGTGGAAGCATTATTTAGTTCAACCTATTTGTCTGAATCTTCTTTTTCAAATATGAATTTTATTAAAAACGAATACCGTAATCAACTTACAGATGAACATTTGGATAATTGTATTCGAATGGCGGTATCAAATTATACTCCAAACATTAAACAAAATTGTCAGTGAGTCTGAGTGTCAGGCTTCTCATTGAACACGCATTTTTTTATCTGGACATGTTTTCATTTAAAATAGTGCGTTGCTTATTTATTTTTAGTTACCTTTATTAAATCGTATGTGACATGTCATTGTAGCTGACGAAAAATTTTGTTTATTTTTCAAACACCTAGGATTGGTAGGAATGGATGTATTAGTTATTAGTTTATTTAAGTTTATTAGTTTATATTAGTATTAGTAAAATAAACATGTATCTCGCATACAACTGTGTGTAATTTCATTTCAGTTGGCTTACATTGCTTACGACTAGGCAGCTCACTGTTTATTCCATAATTAGAGTAGCTCAACACACTCAAAAGGTTGGCGACCACTGATCCAACGGTAGCCGTGGGTGACTAGTTTGTTTTTATCAATTTTTGTTATATGTGATATCCTTTAACCACCCAAATTACGTTAATGTACAGAGTATCGTTCGCATATAGCCCGATAAAGAAAATTGATTTTTTAGCATCCCAAAGTCGCAAATATCGCACAGTTTAGCAATTTTTACTTCCCACGCCTACTGTAATCCCGAAAAAAATCGAAAATGAGAAATTACGTTTTTTTGATGTTATACGACATGTAGATCACGAAAAACCATGTCAGTCTTTTCCGTCGGTTTGTCTGTCTGTCGGCTAATCTTTGGACCGCCTATGTAACTGCTCGGAAATACGAAAAAAATAAAAATACTCATACTCATACTTTGTAGGGTTTGAAAATCGAGGGTGGGTTGTAGGATGTGGGGAAAGGTATATCTCATTTTGTTGGCGACAGTATATTTATACGCTTCCAGCCCCAGTAAATTCAGACACCTGTCAGTACATATTCCGCACATCAAAGATTGTAATTGCGAAAATGAAAAGCTATGTGACATATATAGGTAGATCACGAAAACCTATGTCACTCATTCTGTCTGGCTGTCGGTCTGTCCGCTAATCTTATAACCGTCTATAACTTGAGAATAATTGTCTCTCGGATTTTGATGAAATGAACATTGTAGAGGTTGAAAATCGGGGCTTGGGTTGTAGGACTGGTAGGAATATGATTTATTGCTAGGGTGGGGACTGCGCGACGGACTTCATGTAAGTTGGAATATTCGGTCATTAGCAGGTAGTTTTATTTCGTCTCGGCGCGAGTAAACAACTGTCAGCAAAAAAATAATCTTGACGTATAAGGCTAGTAGAATTGTGCAGATGCCGAAGCAAAGAGAATTAACAGTTGGCGAGCGCGCCCAAATAGTGTTATTACAGACACAAGGTGTCACGCAGTGTGAGATTGCCAGAAGAATGAAATGTTCGCGTTGTGCGGTACAAACTACACTTAAACGGTATAATGAGACCAAAGCTTACGAGAATCGAGCAAAAAGCGGCCGAACACGAAGAACCAGGGCGAGGCAGGACCGAATTTTGCAGCGAATGGCACTGCAAGATAGGAAAAAAAGCTCTAAAGCACTCGCCGCCGAATTGCGCGAGGCGCAAGGGATTGTGTTGTCAGCAAGGAGTGTTAGGCGACGGCTCGTGGAAAAGGATTTGCATGGAAGAAAGGCGCGGCGAAAGCCACTGCTGACGGAGAGGCAGAAACAATTGCGTCTTTCTTGGGCAAAAACATACAAGGATTGGACGGCAGAAGACTGGGCCAAGGTGATATGGACGGATGAATCCAATGTAGAGGTATTGTTAAACTAATGTTTCACTAACTTTTTATGGCAACTGCATATAAAAAATTTAGTGTCTCTCTGCAACAACCTGAAAAAATTGTTTTTAACTTGCTTCTTTTCTTTGTCGCAGTTATTTGGTCAACCTGGGACTCGGTACGTGCGACGAAGACCCGGGGAAGCTTATCGGGAAGAATGTCTTATCCCTACTGTGAAATTTGGAGGAGGCAGTATCATGATTTGGGGGTGCATGTCTGCCAGTGGCGTCGGCGAAGTTTTTTTATGCGAGGGCCGTATGACCTCTAGGCGGTATTTGGACATGCTTGAGGAGGTTTTGGAGCCTTCCATTTTACAGTTAGTGGATACCGAGCAAGGGAATTATTTTTTTCAACAAGATAATGCCCCCTGCCACAAATCCCGCGAAGCGATGCATTGGTTTGAAGAGAATGGGGTTAACCTGTTATCGTGGCCGCCCCAGTCCCCAGATCTCTCACCAATTGAAAATTTATGGCACATTGTAAAGAGTAAGATTGCACAACATCACTGCGCTTCAAAAACTGCGCTAAAAGAAAAAATTGTTGAAGAATGGAACGCAATTCCTGCAGCTACCTGTCTGAAATTAGTGTCTAGTATGCCACGAAGAGTGAAATTAGTAATAAAAGCTGGAGGGGGCTCCATAAAATATTAATAAAATGTATGCATTTTCTAATAAATTGAGATTCCTATTACTGATACACATTAGTTTTTTCTCCAACTTCCCATACTTTCCAAATTATTCGTTGAGGTACTAAGTGCCTAATACATATGGCCACGGCTGTATATCTCATTTGTTGGCGGCAGTATATTTATACGCTTCCGACCCCAGTAATTTTAGACACCTATCAGTATATATGCCGCACATCAAAGATTGTAATTGCGAAAATGAGATTGTTTGGAGAAAATATGTGAGAATATTTTCATGTTGCCTTTGTTTATTTCAGTTTTTCAATTTTAAATCCTAACATTACTGAACTAATACCACCTAGATAATTGAAGGATCTTGAGGTGTAGGCAACAGAGCATACGACTATGTGTAATTGTCGTTATCTATGCGGTCGTTCCTCTACTATTCATCACCATTCATAACGGAGAACCGACGTTTACCGTTATTGGGTTATTCACGTTGCCAAGCTTACTCATTTTCTTTCAAAGAATATTCCAGGTATACAGAGAAAAACTGTGTTTTTTTCTATGCGTAAAATAACTCAGATCGCACACTAATAAGTAAATCACATCTCAGAATGGAAAATGAAGATCAGTGAGTGGATAGGTAGGTACAGCACAGAAAGCAACCTGCGCCTGAGACACTGATCGAGTGATATTGATATTATTAAATTAATGTTTGGCCGTGATTTGGGGTTTCAAACTTTCAATACACATAAAAACAGCATAATTAAGAAAATCAGAAAAGAGCCAGAAACCCAAAATGACAAGAATTTCATGTTCAAAGCAGGCATGCTACTAGGTATTAACAACAAATATTAAATCGTCGCCTATATGTTGCACTTAATTTGCGATTATTTGAAGTCGCGTATTTATTTTCAATTGATGTTATCTCAACCTTTACTTTTAACCAGATTGTTTTTAAATGTGCCTCTTGATTCGTCACACCAAAGCTTAAACCAAAAATATGATAATAGAAGATTTCTCTGTTAACTTGGCAACGTGGTTCGTGACGTAACAAAGTTGGGCTTCACATGCCATGTGTACTTCCACGTAGAACCAACCGGCAGACCAAAATCTCTTTTGATTGGATTATTTCGAGTGATGTGAAAGTGTTACACTGAGAAAACTGGAACTGTGTAACTTCTCTTTCACCTTCTGTCTTTGAATCAGTGCTACACGTAGTTAAATATTCCCTTTACCATAATGAGGATCCTGTGGTTACTCCTTCTTATCCTGCCTGTAGTGATATCAATTTTTGAAAATGGTGAGAGGTTTTTGAATGTGGAATATTTGTGAAAATGAGGGTCAACCATACGCCACGTCCTGCAACTTCAAGTAATATTTTGCGGCCAGCATAAATACGTAGCAAAGTACTGTTCATTGCGTTCTGATGAATGATAAATAATATTTGAAAGCTTTACAGAAGCCTACTATCCATTTTAATTATTCCTGCTAGGTAGTTCATAAAATTCAATGTTCAGTGTGTAAACAATATTTTCCATTATGCATAATATGAAGACCCTTGTTACTTAGGATGCCTACATTTTGAGATTTTTCAATTAGCAAACAGCCATGTCGAATTTGATTATTCTGTCTTCTCATGGTCTTCCCCTATTACATATAATACTAGGTATATTATGTATCATTCCATCTGTCTGCTGATCTCAGTTTTTTATATCACACCTTCAAAAAGTCTATAAGTATGCAAAAATATTGTGTTTATATTTCCCTAATAAAACAAGATTCATAGTATGAACCTCCCCCCACATTTTGAAGAGTAAGAACATGTTCCATAATGCTAACAATAGATACATTTTTGTGTTTTGGTATATCAGGAAGTAGAGGTGGGCAGATTGTTTGATTGGGGCGTCAGCAGGTATTCATAATGTTCAGAAGAGCAAGAAAAAATGACACTGGAAGTCTCCAATCTTCTTCTAGTACCATATTCTCACTGGATGCAGGTCTACATAAGTTTATGGAAACCAGCTCCACATAACTAGCTACTGATGTTTGACCAGTCTCCTATCTCAGAGTTTTCATCCACAAACTTCGTTGCCTACTGAGCCCTCTTATGCTGTTTAACTTGCCCTTCAAAACATGCCAGCTTTCTGTGTTTAACTGTAAAGATCAGTTTAAACATTTTGACTATCATTTGGTACCATGATGCATGCATAGAATACACAACATCCTACAATAACACCACATTTTGAATACGGTTGTCTTCTGTTAGGGTCAACACTTCCACATAAATCAAAAATACATAACAGTTAAGCACTCTAATATTCTAATAGTGATTGCTTCGATGCACATATAGGTGGGTTCTTTGTTTTTGTCCCTCTTTGAGTATGCTATAGATATAGATTGTAATGAGTTGCTAGACATATTGTAAATTAAAACTGAAAATATAGGTACAAAAATTGTGAAACCTATATTATCACACATCCGATCTATCATATTACTTCATATATGTTAAGTTCATCAAATTATAGGTAATAGAATAGTCAGCTATGCTGAGGAAGACTCAATTGAAGATGAAGGAGAAGCAGAAGTAGAAGAAGTTGGTACTGTAGAAGAAGAGGAAGAGGAGTCTAAAACAACAGCATCACCAAATGCAGATACAACACTGTTATTTGTTAAACCCACATTTTCTGGATCATCACAAATGGGTAAATATCACAACTGGTCATCATTGTTGTTTTTTCTTCTGGTACAAACATCGGAGAAGGATTAAAAATACAGAGCCATAAAATTTTTAAACAAAACTCACTTCTATACTTAATTATGCAAATATGGATTATTTTTTACCACCACATAATGCCAATAACTGAACTTTGTCATATTTGGGATGAGGAAAAATGTGATCAATATGCTACTTTTTTAAATATATAGTGCTAATGAAATAAAATGGAACGAAATTTAAATCAAACAACATTTTTCTAACAAGGTTTTTTCATCCTACATTGCTGAGATTTCGGAGGTTTTGGATTCTGCCAAAGAATCCTGAACTGTTCAGTAATATCGATGATTGATGTATGTTCTATCTCGATGCTCTGTTAGTGGAGTGTTCAAGTTTATAAAGGTGATCTATGCAGTTACCTTCCTATTACCTGAAAGGATAATAAATGATGTATTCACATCCATCCAAAAGTCTTGTTGGAATCCCATGTACACTACATTTCTCATCTTTAGTTTAAACCAAAGAGTAGTTATATAAAGAGAAGACAGACAAGGCAAATAAAATTAGAAAGAGAGAGATAGATATGAGATGACTCCACGAAACAGCTGATGGGGTCTAACATGGCTGTTCTTATTTAGTTGGATATAAATGTGGTGTTGCCAGATAGAATCCTATTTGGCTGAATATTCATTGACCATCCCTTGTATTGAATTCATTTTTTGTTGAGACATTTATTCATGGTGGGGATATTCATCATTCATTTGCAGCCTATCAAATATATTTTTCAATCATTAAAGTTATAAATCACACTTTCCCCTGAGAGACGCTATTGTCAAAACATGCAAGTTATTGCTTAGCTATTTAATTTTTAGGGCTCTACATGGAATAATACATACAGAGCCATCAATGAGCGAATTGCCAAGCCAATGACTGCACTCACATAGATTGCTGTCTTTATTTGTAAACCAGTAATAGTCCAAGAGCTAGCTGCAGTTTTGGTTACATCATGTACTGATATGGAATGTTAAAAACTAGTTGAATCCTATGTATTTTGATATAAAACAGCAAGTGGATTAAGGCATTCCATGAAGCGTTCTCTTTTGATATAACTACTCTTTGGTTTATCTATAAAAAAGATTAACATATAAGATTATTACTAGTTATTGATATTGTCCACAGAAATACCAGCAGGCCTGCCAGTCGAATTTCTGGTTGGTTTCCGCAACAAAGGTGATGAAGACTTCTTAGTAGAATCCTTGGAGGCATCTTTCCGGTATCCCATGGATTTCAGCTTTTACATCCAAAACTTTTCTGCAATTGGTTACCACAAAACTGTTACACCTGGCAATGAGGCAACATTCCACTACAGTTTCATACCATCAGAAGCATTTGCAGGCAGACCATTTGGGCTCAACATCAACCTTATGTACAGAGATGCTTCAGGCAACCCCTTCCAGGAAGCTGTGTTCAATGAAACTGTGCAGATCATTGAGTTGGAAGAAGGTAATCAGAACACATTTTCAGTTGTTTCATTCAAATGTTTATAAGTGCATTGATTTATCTGAAATAACATTATACATTTCCCCCTTACAAGGAGGCATTACACCCTTCAGGTGACTGATTTGGGCAGCTCTATGTATTGAAAGAGAATTGCTAGTGTCATATATTCCCAAAATTTAAAGGTGCACAATTAAAATAAGGGAGAAATTTCTCGCGAAACTGTCAGTCTCCCCTTACTCAAAATTTCAAAAATGCTAACCCTCAAAAATTGTTAGATCAAAACAGACAGCTTGTAAGGTTTTTTGTTAGCTGATTTCACAAAAGTATTTATTTACCCACATAATTTAATTGTAAGCATTGAAATTTCGAAATTAATGTTATTTTTTAAGCAATAAAATGCAGTGGATGTCGGCAGAATAAATCAGTTGTCATTAATTTGCATGAATTACCTCATTTAACATGTATGTTACTGGATGATAATGGTCATAAAAAAGCAGAGCATAAATTTAACTGGTCTGATCTACAAGTTTCGATGCAAACCATGTTAGATAGATAGATGTTTATTGATCTCATTTTCATACATTAATACAAGAGGAAATTCAAAGAAGGAAAAAATGATTGATGCATAAAACATCAAAAATATCTTTCACGTGATAATGACAATTTAAAATTTCGGAGATAAAAACTCTTGTGCAGTATTAAAGCAGCTCTGGCAAAATTTCTTTACTTTGTGCTTAAACTCATTATAATGTTTAATATATTTTAGATATTTTGGTGAATTGTTGAATAGGTGCATGCAGTTACAACATACGGATCTTTCATATGCTGTTGTTTTTTATGCCTAAGGAAAATTACAATTTTTAATAAAAATCTAAAATATGTTACGAACTCGTTTATTGTTCTTTAAGTATGACAACCATTTCATTAAAACTAGTAACTTTAGAAAATAAAAATAAAATAATTACATTAATACATTCTAAAATTGCACAAAATGTTGGAACATATATATCATAAATTATGTTATTACCTTGCCTGATCACCCTTATTTGATGTATGATTGGTATTTGCATGACCCGCATAGTACTCTAGAGCTCCAGTACCTTTTTGTCGTAAAGTATTTTAATCTCACTTTCATCCTCATTGGGTAACAGATTATTAGAATACATCAGTCATACAAATTTGTGATTAACAAGCTTACATTCACCTTATTTTCAGCACTTTCTATACATTTCTAATTTTCACAGGTTTGGATGGCGAAACATTCTTCCTGTATGTGTTCTTAGCAGCTGGTGTTGTACTGTTGCTTGTGATTGGCCAGCAGACTCTATTGTCTGTTGGAAAGAAGCGTTCACCCAGCAGTAGGAAAGCAGCACCTGTAGAAACTGGCACCAACAACCCTAACAATGTAGATTATGATTGGTTGCCAAGGCAGACATTAGCTAGCTTAAGTAAGTAAATGATTTAAACAACATTCTCCTTACCCTACACCTGTGCCAAATAGCTTAAAGGGCATAAGCCAAGTTGTTCGACTTATACAGGGTGTTCCTTTATTGACATGCTAATATTTAAGGAGGTGATTCTTGGACCCACTTTGAAAAAAAAAATTAAACGTATTGTCAGAAAAAAAATCTGTATTTTATAATAACTGATACTATTGTGGATATCTTTATGAAATTTGGTACACATCTTCTATCTATCAAGGTACATTTTCTGATATACAAAGAATTTTATTATGTCTACCAGCGGTACCGTACGGGTTTTTCCTGGCATATTTTTGACGAAAAAGAATGAAACGCCACTGATTTCTCCTTAAATAAAACCGTTTTTGAAATCTTCATTCATTCTGAACAAATTTGATCTTTTGATTTTCTTTTGCCCAAAGCCTGATTTTTTTATTAAAAAAATCTTTTCACTCCAGGGTCAAATCGCTAAAAGCCCGATGGTGTTGACTAGGAAAATCTTCCTTAGATAGATTGTTCCACAATCTCGACACCCTAGAGTTCTGGATGTACAAATGTTGATACGGTTAGAATAGGAGTACAAAATCAGGCTGGTCTGGTTGGCCCGCACGCCGCGTGGCGGACAGAGGAACTACATATAATTGGGTCCTCACATGATAGTTTTCATAGAAAACAATTATCTCATTTAGCCAGTGTCGAACTAGCCCCAAAGCAATATTGTAAAAAATTGATACCCTGTGTAATAATTCCTCAATGTTGCCATTTTTTTAAGCAGTATCATAGGAATTTGTCCTGTATGTTTGGTGTTCTCTATATGCTCCTGAGAGTCTGACATTTTACTCTGTGACACCCTGTATATTTCGATGATTAAATGATTTAGTTATTTGATGTGGTTACTTCAGCTATAACTGCCGATATACTTCATACTTTTTTTCACTTCTAACCCGAGAAATCACTATTATTGAAAGCAGCGCCTTATTGAGAGGTAGTATTTCTTTCCATAGATAAACAAAAACAAACGTCTAGAACTGTTTGTTTTGACAGGTCATATAAAAATGTTAGAGGCGGTATATTTATAGGCGGACACCCCGTACCTTAGTCCCCTTGGATAGACCTGTCCAATACCAAATTGGCTATATCTATATCTGTTGTATTCATTGGGTTGTCAGTTAACTAAATACTTTAAAATATCCGTAAAATGGGATGGAATCGTCATGATTGTGATGCAAAATCTAATATATATATATATATATATACATACATACAATTAATTGTTAATTGGGAAATTGGCAAGTTTTTAGGCTTAAGTTGACTCTTTTGACGATGAAATCCAGCTTTCGGTATTCTCTATAGAGCCTTCATCAGGATTTCATCGTTGAGGTTGCAGCCACAAGGTGTTTCAAAACAAACGTAGAGAAGATAGAACTTGTTATAAATATAGAGACGTTCGTTTTGAAACACCTTGTGGCTGCAACCTCAACGACGAAATCCTGATGAAGGCTCCATAGAGAATGCCGAAAGCTTGATTTTATCGTCAAAAGAGTCAACCATTATTGGCCCATTTCTTAAACTGGGTATATAATGTACTAAACAGTGTTCCATCTATTGCTTCTTTTTTCAACTACCGTTTTTTAACATATTAAATGTGTCAACTGCCATGTGTTTAGCACATATGAACTGTCAGAGGTCTGCCATTTGTTATTATAGATTCTTTAACAACCCAAGAACGCATTTGGGTCGTCCAAAAATCTTACGAAAACGGACGATCTTTAAAAAGTACTTTTCGCAAACTTCGTGATGAATTTGATCGTCCACAGAGCGTGGAATTCGGTGGATTATTATCAATCGTTTTGAGGAGACTGTCTCAGCTGAAGGTCGTAAAACATACATATCAACATGCCCATCCGGTATGTACACGTGAATCAATGGTCGCTGTGAGTGCAAGTGTTCATGAACTGCCGTCAACTTCGATAAGACACTGTTCACAAGAATTGGACATCAGGCCAACAACATTATGGAGGATTTTGTATGTTGATCTCCATCTATACCCATACAAGATACAACTAACTCAGCAGTTGAAGCCAGCGGACCATCAGCAACATCGTATTTTTGTTAATTGGATGCTTGAAAAAGGAGAGAGATTTTCGGCTAGAATCATCTTTTCAGACGAGACACTTGTCTACCTCAGTGGCCACGTAAATGAGCAAAACTGTAGGAGCCGTTACGGTCACCGCCGAACGTTATCGTGGTATGATAACGTATTTTTTTTGGCCGAAATTGGAAGGTATTGATGCCAACGACCTTTGGTTCTAGCAAGACGGTGCAACTTCGCACACAGCTCGGCAAACAATCCAATTATTGGCTGAAAAATTTCCAGATCGCATTATTTCGAGAAATTCCGACGTGAATTGGTCTCCAAGATCGTGCGACTTAACGTCACTGGACTATTTTTTCTGGGGATTTTTGAAAAGTAAAGTGTACGCGACTACCCCACGCAAGATTCAAGACCTTAAGCGCAACATTCGCACCGAAATTGCGGCCGTGGACCCGCTAATACTCCAAAAAGTCATCGAAAATTTTGATTTTCGGATGATGGCATGACGACGGAACCGAGGTGGACATATGTGCGATGTTATATTCCATACATAAATGGCAAAGAACGACCTATAATTTTCAATGAAGCGTTCAGTTTCTCACTCATAAAGTTTTTTTTTTTAGATTAAAGAAAATAAGGAACGGATGGAACACCCTATATTATATCTCTTATTACAGTGGCAATTTAATTTTTTCCAGACAAAGAAAAATCCCAGAAGTCGCCAAAGGCAGGTAAACAACAAAGCCCAAGGCAACGCAAAGTAAAAAGATCGACAGGCTCAGAATAAGTCCTACCAACATCCATCGACTCATTGACTGATTAGCATATAAAAATTCCATTTCATTTTTATATAGCATTCTGTTGTTCATGTTCATATACTTTTAATGCTCAGATTGCACTATTGTCAACAATTTTTTCTATTCTCACAAGTATATCGTGAATCTTTGCAGTATATTGCTAACGAGAACAAAAATATTTTCATACACAATAGTCTTTTATTAGTTTACTATGAACAAGTTGGCAGTTATAATTAAAATATGCCAGTTGTACTGATGGAAAAATTTGTAAACATAATTTCCAACAAAAAGTAAAAAGACCAACATTTTGTCATGTTCACCATAAGCAAACGCTATTAGTCAAAATATGGTTGTGTGTATGGACTTTTGAGCATCAAAGATTCACATATTGTATTTCAATGGTGTCTTAGTCATTTTCCCAAGGAAAATACCGACATGCTCAGGGTATCCTGAAAGTTGGAACTTTCCTTTTCAGGAACTACAATGCTTGACATAACAAAGCTAATATGTGGTGAAACAGAGAAATTTCAAGTATTTCTCTGTGGCTGTTCGAAGTTGCCATTAGTAAAATGCTTCATAGAAAGTACGGGTATTGGAGTCCAGCCAAAGAATAAAAGGTCCAATGAGTATTTATCATGCCATCTCAAACTTATAAAGGAAATGTTTGTTGAAAATGTGACCGACTTTGTGAGGATTTTCCAATGACCACACATGAGTATTTCGAAAGTTTTTCACACAGTTACGCGTGAAGGTTGATTCGCCCGTGATTGATATAGACTTCAATTCCGGATTATTTTCATGAAGGTGCAACAACTACTCACAACAACGCACTATTACAGAAAAATCCTCAGCTCGGAGGGCTTGTACACGTTGTACGTAAGGAGGGTACAATCCATCATCATGCAGTATTTGCTACACTTTGTCTTGGAGACTTGCACTCGTCTAGCCAGTTCTCTAGTGATCCTATCATCAATTTGCAGCATTTGGGGTTGTTTAGGTCTTACACTGTGCCCATCTCGAAATTTCTCTAAACGAACTGTATCTCTAGCTCTTTGCATAAGGTAAACAAATCACGTGGCCATGAATCTTAACATCTGGGAAAACAATCTGCATACACGCGCGACGTTGTGTTTTGAAGACACTTAACCATAAATTAAACTCATGTCGACAAAAGTTCGATATTGCTGTACGAGTGTGCCAACTTTAGTTTTTTTTTTCGTACCGATTGGTAAATAAATGTTTTGTTTACCTACGCTGTCAGTGCGGAGTACTGACGTGCGTTTTCACTTTTGATCTGATCGCGATTGCAGGAGCGGATTAAGTTCGATTAATTTTGCGGAGCCTAATATCTCAAGTCTTTTGTGTATGCTACACTAGGAAAAACCGCTTATTTTTTCCAGATCTATACGCCGTGTAAAGGAAAGTCCAAATTTGCGGTTACCCCGTATAGGTTTTACTAACGAGTTATAAAATCAAGCAAAATAAAATAATGGCAACTGAACTCTAAATACGAGAGTGTGTTGTCATAGACAAGGCCGTAATCATAAAATACATTGTATAAATAATACATGCGATTGAGTAGTTCTTAAATTTATTTAAAATAGTATCAATAGATTTTATAAAGCTAAGGTGTTATCATTAAATTATTGATCGTTTTTCTCTAGTTTTTACGTTTGATGTGTTGTGATTCATTTTAAATCAGTAATAAGTTTATAGACAATGCACTGTATATATTCCAATTGCGCCACTATGGTGGATTTGAATATTTCGAAAATAAAAGTTTGTTACAAAATTGTAAATGATTTTTTTAAACAATCCACAATCTCTTTGATTTTCCAGTGTTTTTTAATTAGGTATGCTTGTAAACTAACATATGGGTACTTGAAAAAAATAAACATTTGTAGTTTTACTATATATTTTGTCCCGAATAGATAAATTATACTAAGCTATGCCCAATGGCTACATACACATTTATACAAATAATAGGACCCTTAAGACATACCATCAATGCTAATGAAAATGAACTAATACAGTAGAAAACAGTTCTGCTAATTTTGTCAGTCCAGGCGAGATCTGTATTGGCATGGTTGGTCAGAAAACATGAAAGATCTTGATAAAAAAATATGGGAGCAAATGAGGATCCTAGCTCATCAAAGCTTCGCCCGCCTTAAACATTGGTAACAGTTTCATTCTAAACAATTTTAAGTAATATTGTATACTTTTTAATATGTAAAAAATTATCATTAATAATAATATAATAAGAAAATAACTGTGACAATCACTGTTGCTTAGGCATTATAATATCAACTACTAAACTGTCACCAAACATAAAGCTAATCTTGAATGAATAAAATTAAAAATTACTTAGTTCAAGAATCTTATACTCATTTTCTGTTCAACATCAGTCCTCTGCAATGCCTTACAGAATTCTTCAAAAGATATCATTTGGTCACCATCTTCATCTGCTTCAAGGATGGTGCGTTCTGCAATGCTGATCAGCTGTTCCTCACTGATATTAGTACCAACCATCATGTGCAAAATGGCTAGCAATTCATCTTTGGAAATCATGTCATCGTTGTCAAGATCATACATTTTGAAGGCAACTGAAATGTAATGGGTATAATAGCATATACACTGAGAAACAAATTTGTCTGACGACTTGAGTTTAATGTGTACGAGAGAGAAGTGTGTATTGAAACATGTGTTAGAAACCGCCTGGAGAGCGGAGTTCACCACGCGTTGTCTAGCAACCCTACCGCGTTGTCACTATGTTACACCAGTTCCTTGAATTAAGATGCATATTGCAAATGTGCGTTAGTTTGTTGTTTACGCCCAAATAACAGTTTTATTTTGAGTGCACAGATTTTTTAATTGTGTCGAATCTGATTCCCTATCGGTCCCAACGGCGCTTCATTTTAGGTCGAAATGAAATTCTGCATCATTGGTTCATTTGATAACACCACATCCCAAGGCAAGGTTTCCACCTCCATGATCATATATGAGCGATTTTGGTCAGTACCCATCTAGTGCTCATAGAGCTGTGTTGTCTTGCTCGAAGTTTTATTACCATCCGTGGAAATCAAAGATAAAGTAAATTAAAGGATCAAAATTGAAATAAATAATTCTAATCAAAATGAAAACAAAATATTTAATTTTTGAACAGACCTCCTTCTTGGGTTTGACAGCAACCTAACCTATTGTAGCAGCCTGTGCCAACATTTTCTGGTGTAACATATTGGCAACAAGGCAGACACCTTCGGAGTCATTGTTGCTAGACAATGTGGTGATGACCTTTGCTCTTCAGCCAGCTTCGATCTCTTTCTAACATGTGTTGATACACACTTCTCGCACTTCTCTCTTGTACACAATGAACCAGCTCTGTCAAACAAATTTAATTTTCCCTGCAGATGAGCATAACTAAGCAAATTTTCTTGCAGGCTATGCTGATTAACCCAACAAGCTCTTGAAAATCGTGAGCAATAGAGAAAAACCTTATTACACACAGCTACATGATCAAAAGGTAATAAAAGACAAAAACAATACAGCTGGATCATCACATATGTTTCTGGCTAAATCACTACTACAATATGTCTTTGAGCTTCCCAAAACTTCTATTTTTTCAGATGATACCCTATGTCAATGGAAATTAATAGTACAAAAAAATACTTTTAGATATTAACCTGACCCTTCAAGAGAAAAGACATTTAACCTTAACCTTAAAGTTCATTAAAATCGAGTGTGTATTTTTTTAATGTTTAACAACATTTCTAACCTTGGAAATTAAGATGGTGGCAAATAATGTCATTGAACATTCTGTCTTCAGAAGGTCACGGTCGAGACCAGTGAGTGCAGTTGAATGACTTTAAAAAGTTGGTCTATTTAAATTTGTGACCAGCTCATTTGTACTCTAGGTGTCACTAGTTTCATAATTTATAAAACCATAATAGCAGTAACATTAGTTTTTGCCTTATTAAACTGATGTATAACATATAGATTTATAGTCTGATCATGGGTTAGTTAAAAACAACTGAAATGATTTAATTTAGCCACTTTTTCTTTTCTTTTCATTCTAATTTTAGCTTATAAAAATGATCAAGTACATATCTCAATATATTTTTTGTCCAGTGTCAAAAATATACCTAGGTTCACATCTGAAAAAATTGACTTGACCTTCAACATCAAAGTCAAAAGATAATCAGTACATAAGCAAAACATCAAATCACACAAATTAGTAGGTATATTGAAGTTTTTCTCTATCATCTGATTTTAGAAGTCTCACTGTTTCCATAAATATACTTTATGCAAAGTGTTACAGATAACAAATAATTGTGTGTTTACTACCTATAATAATGGGTGCAGTTTTTGATTTTCAACATCATGAAAAAGCATGCTCATATTTATCAGTTCATATCTCATAAAACTTGACCCCTCCATATGTTGATAAGATCTTAAATTTTATAATGGCATCCCCCTTTTCCCTGTATCACCATATAGCCCCGCAGTACCCATGGGTGAGCTTAGGCCTTTGCGGTGGGTCTAGTATAAAAAAAATTAATCTTGAGATTTCTGCCAATCATTCAAAAACTTAATGTGCAGACTGCAGATAAAAGGATTCAGAGGAAGGGGTAGAATCTCAATGTTATCAATTTAGTCTAATAAGAGACTTTGAAAAATAAAGCTAGAAGGGTAAAACCAACTGTCTACATACTTTTGTTTGCAACTACACAGTGTGTTGCAACAGTAGTCCGAGTGGTCCTGTACATAGAAGGTACAAATCCATCATAACAATTTTAAGATCGTACCAAGAAGACCAGCCAAGCCCAGGTCTGTCTGAGGTAAGTGTGCCTGCTTTCAGAAAACATCCAATCCCCAAATCAAGCAGGCATGAGATCATCTATTATTTTTTGATCTACCAGACACTCCACTCTCGCTCACTGCTCCAAAAACACCAAACATCCTCTCAGAACAGGATAAGTTACAAGCGTTACATAAAATTATAAAATTCTTACATCTTAATTTTTCCTCTCTAGAATTCAGCTTATTTTCTTTATTCCGTTTGATAGGCCTAAAATGTGCCAGCACATGCATGAATTGTCTGAAATTCACTCTATCTGCAAACTCATCTCCTTGAAAGAATGAATTCACAATTCGTTCACCCAATGGATTGATTGCTAGCTCTGGTATCCTCAGGAAGTCATCTCTACTCAATGTACCACAGTCACCGCGATCCAGTGAGGTAAAACGACTGTACAGACGTTCTATTTGGTTTGGAGTGACTGAAAATTGCAATACAATTAGTTATAGGCACTAAAAGCTCCTTACACCTAAGATGAATTCACTATACTCACATCCAGTTTCTTGTTGAATTTGGGCGATTTCCTCCTCGCGTAAAAGGAGCGATGATCTGTTGCCCATTTTTATGTAATTAGTTATTCAAATGCAGTAATCGCACTAGTTTTATTTCAAGGACAGGTCTTGTGAAGGTGATACATGCACTTTGTACCTTTCCAGTAGTGATTGCAAATTATATGATTTCACTCATTTACTAAATATTTGTTCACAGACAACTCCGTGATGAGACTTCCATTAACTTTAATTATCTCGTTAAGTTTTAGAAAAAAGCTACTGCTTTTTTTGAAGATATTCAAAATTCAAAACAAGGATAAACCCACCTTCACAAAACATGACACAAAGCAGCTGGCTGTGGCTCCTAACCTAACATGTAGTAAATCAGCTGACACTCTGTCATAAAATATAGAACGCTTTCCAGTGACCCTGTTGAATTACTCGATGTAACTCCATGGTGGTTTGCATCGGTTCGGGTTAAAGTGCGCTAACTTCGAATTAGTCTTTGCACCGTCATAGTTATCTCAGAGTTAAGGCTTAACTCTGGGATAAATTTACCTCTCACTTGAACTAGGTGTTAAGGCGGATACGTAGCACCATGAAAATGGTAGAGTAATACCTGCGCATCGCGATGCTTACTGTCAATAAAAAAGAGGACTTAAATGTCAAATGACGTTCTTTTAACTCTTACGGAACCAAATTTGTGACTGCTAAAACTCTCTAATATTGTTTGTTGTAACTGATTGTTGGGCTGTTTAGATTTAATTCCAGAGGAATAAGGTCATCCTCGTCGGATTCTTCATTATTTATGGTTACGTCCATAATTACCAGGGTGCTTTATGGACAATGCTGTCGGCTGTCTGTATGATGCGACTTGTCGATCCACAGCGAAAAATATTCTCAAATTCCCACTGTCCAAATAGAATCACAAATATATATATATATATGAATCTGTTTGGAAGTTGGGAATTTGAAAATATTTTATCCAGTCAAATCAAACACAGACGATATTCAATAAAAATGACAGAGAAACTGAATACAAAACACAAGTACTAAAATGTCCAAATTTACGTCAATATTTCAAATCCCAGCACAAATCATCAAACTTTTTATCACAGAACTAGCCTCTGTGGCAATATTGCCAATAAATGTATTAATTCTAGGAAATATCCCTATATTCCAAGCTTGCCAACATGACCAAAAGTCGGGGTTTATAAACCCAGAGTTAAACCTTGACGGTGCAAAGCTACTCGAATTTAACCTGGGGTTACAGCTAACTCCGAGTTAAGTAACCCTCACCTTTAACCCAAAGCGGTTCAAACCACCGTAAGTAGAGCGCAGCACTAATACCGTTCCATTGCACGTTGTAACCAAAAGCCACTGGAAAACATCTCAGATTCACTTTTAGTTCCCGAGTGTATCTGAAACTCATTGTGAAAATATGTGTCACAACTGACGACGGTTACGTTTGAAGCATTGATCTCAAAGGTCATTTAGAATGATTTAGAAGTTAACTTTGTCAATTCACTATTGTTAACAGCAGAGTCATGTCAAGCTGTCGATTTTACATCAGAATCAATTTCCATACATGAGGTCGAGTGGTCATACGAACACCTCGAAAACGTGGCAACCAAGTACAGGGTGCGGCAGAGAGGACGGACGTTTTTGGGATGGGTAGTACTCTCCGCCTCCGTCTACGAGAGAGGTGGGGGGGGTGCCGTTTGACTCGTGAGATCCTAGCATTATTTTACCAGTTGTCGTTATGGAGCCTTGGACGGTGGAGCACCGCGTTTTCGCCTATGAGTGACGTAGCCCACTTTCACCTAAACAGCATAGTTAACCAGCAGAATTGTCGTTATTGGGCTAATGAAAATCCGCAACAGTTACACGAAAGATCGCTGCACAGCCCAAAAGTAACGGCTTAGTGCGCTGTATCGCAAACGTGCATCATTGGCCCTTACTTCTTCGAAGACGGTAATGGTCGTGATGTTACCGTGAACTGAGAGCGCTACGTCGACATGATCACCAACTTCTTTCTCCCTGAATTACGACGGCGACGTGTTCCAATCCGACGTGTGTGGTTCCAGCAGGATGGGACGACCGCCCACACAGCCCGAGCATCCATGGACGTTATTCGCCCTGTCTTCCCTGGTCGCCTTATTTCCAGGTTTGGCGATGTTCGGATGTTCATTGGCCTCCTCGGTCCCCAGATTTATTCATATGCGATGTTTTCTTATGGGGACACCTCAAGGTTAGAGTATACGCGAACAAGCCCCGAACTCTGGACGAATTGAAGGGCGAAATTCGCGTGGAAGTCGCCCAAGTTGAGAGAGCGATGTTGGAGAGAGTCTACGCGAACTTCCAAGAACGCCTCCAGCACTGCATCAACGATTTCGGCCACCACATGCCTGATGTGATTTTCCACACTTGACTGTCTCAAATGCTATTTTCTTGTGAACCTGATTCCATCAATAAATTTGTTTTCGAGTAAAAATTAACTATTTTATGATTTTTTTAAAACCGTCCATCCTCTCTGCCGCACTCTGTATTTTTTGGAACAAAGGTTTTTAGTCTATCACCTCAAAGATGAGTTAGGGAATTTTGACAGTAGATTTGTGTGTGTACATTTTACATAAGGTACATTGAAATTTGCCCTAGAAGCCAATTCGAAGGAACTTTAGAGTCAATCTACTTCTTTTAATTTTTCGAAAACTATGATGGTGACACGCAGTAGCGTCACTAAAATGTGTGCTTATTTAATCCGTGCCACTGTCCGAACCCACGGTGGACAGGTGACTAACGTCATATTCCATAATTCATACCAGTTCCCATTCAATAGAATTTCAAATAAAAAGGGATCTCGCTAATACATCTTACATCACTATTATTTTATTACATGTCAGAATTAACGGATCCTCATTGAAAAACCCTTTATTCAGGCAGCCATGAACGAAAATATTAGAATCAAATTCAAGCGGATAACCAAATGGAAATGGTATTTACCATTTTGGATTGGTATTTACCAATCTGTTCAAGCGAGTGTGGTTATCAGTTTGGTTATAAGATCCGTGACGTCATGAATCAGCTGTTATATGTCATAGTTATCACCGCAAAATTGTGGTATTTACCCAACTCGGGAGTAGTTTTATATTTCTGGTTATTATTTGACATGTGACAAGTTAGAATTTTGCCGGGTATTGGATATTTTTATTGTACTTCAGCTTCATTTTTGGGAAACTTGATACAGGCTGATTTCAGTTCCAGCATAAGAGAGCACCTTATTATTTATAATCATTACTGTTGTTGGGGACACTTTAAATCTAGTTCCTACGCTTAACAAAGTATCCTGTATAGCCATATACCAAAAGAATATTAAAATATGGCCGTATAAACTCACTGGATGATGTCACCCTGTATACAGTTTTGTTAATATCTTTTTTTCATCGCTTTTTCATCATTTCTGCTAAATCAATAAATATTTTCTTTGTCATGCGGAAAAGTTTAGAGAATTGAAAGTTATCATAGCTACAAAGCCATGGTTCCATCAGTAAATATTTTTTTCTGAAAAAAAACATTCCTCCCATTAATATTATGAAAGTTTTCTTTTTTTCAACTTTCCATAGCCGGTTGTAGACAAAAAAGCACCGATTATTAAGTGATAATAATAATAATCAGAAATTATATACGCGCTTTTCCAAAATAAACAACTTGCAACAAACCGCGGTTAAAACCAACGCGTTCAAGCGATTCGAGTAACTGACGTCATCATCCCGTGTGTCATCTTGAACCATATTATAACCGCAGTACATAATACGGAAATTTTGGTTATCCGCTTGGATTTGATTTATGAAATGCAGCCTTTGTTGTGAAGTCACGTGAAGTCGCTAACGAAGTGGTTAGGGTTACCACATCGTTGTTCAACTACTGGTCGGAAAAAAGAAACGCTAATAGCACAGAAATAGATGCAGTGTTGTCAAACGAACCAATGGTTCGTATGTTGAAGAATTTGTGGCGACCCTGACCTTTCATTTCGACCTAAAATAGAGCGCTATTAGAACCGATCGGGAATCAATCCTAAACAGAACCAACAAAATTCACAATTAAAAAATGTATACGCTCAGAATAAAACCATTATTTGTGCGTAACGAATAAAGTAACGCATATTTTCAATATGCATCTTGATTCAAGGAACTGGTGTAAGATATTGGCAACGCGGCAGATTTGCACGACCTTCTGCGTCACCGTTGCTAGGCGTTGAGCTTCGCTATCCAGCCGCTTTCTATCTCTTTCTGACATAACATATGTACCTTACACTCTTAAATCAAATCCAAGCGAATAACCAAAATTTCTGTTTTATGTACCGTGGTTATAATATGGTTCAAGATGACACACGGGTAGATGACGTCAGTTACTCGAATCGCTTGAACGCGTTGGTTTTAACCGCAGTTTTGTTACAAGTTGTTTATTTTAGAAAAGCTCGTATATAATGTCTGATTATTTTTATTATCACTTATAATCGGTGCTTTTTCGTCTACAACGGTGTATGTAAAGTTTAAAAAAGAAACCTTTCATTATATTAATGGGAGAATTGTTTTTTTCTTCAGAAAAAAAAATGTTAATGATGAAACCATGGCTTTGTAGCTATGATAACTTTCAATTCTCTATACTTTTCCACATGTCAAAGAAAACGTTTATTGATTTAGCAGAAATGATAGGAAAAAGCGATGAAAAAAGACATTAGCAAAACCGCATACAGGTGGACATCATCCAGTGAGTTTATATGGCCATATTTTAATATTCTTGTGGTATATAGCTACACAGGATACTTTGTTAAGCATAGGACTAGATTTAAAGTGTCCCCAACAACAGTAATGATTATAACTAATAAGGTGCTCTACTTTGTGCTAAAACTGAAGTCAGCCTGTATCAACTTTCCCAAAAATGAAGTTGAGGTACATGAAAAATATATCCAATACCCGACAAAATTCTAAATTGTCATATTTCAAATAATAACCAGAAATATAAAAATACTCCTGAGTTGGGTAAAACCACAATTTTGCGGTGATAACTATGACATGTAACAGCTGATTCATAACATCACGGAACTTATAACCAAATTGATAACCAAACTCGCTTGAACGGATCGGTAAATACCAATCCAAAATGGTAAATTCCATTGTCATTTGGTTATTCGCTTGAATTTGATTTTATTTTACACACTTCTCAGGCTTCAGTCTTATGTGTTTTGTGCGCTTCACCCTCGTACACAGGTGGTACAAAGTGAACACGTTAAAGAATGTGGAACTCTATATTTTTAGACGGGCGTTTTGACCTTGACGTTTCTGTCATATCTCAAAATTTGTGTTTTGACTTTTCGATTTGGAAGCGGCCACTGTCGTGTCAATTTTAACGATAAAAAGCAGGAAACTGGTGGAAGATAATTTGAATATTGTAATTTCTTTGCATATTCAATACAAGGTGAAGAGGCGTACCATTTCTTCACAAACTGATGTGAACTTATCAGTGGCAGGATTTGGAAATACGTTGAAATACTTTTAAAGGGTGTGTGAATGTATGTTTTACAATGTTACATCTATTTATGTTGCTGATATAATGGATTCAAACAAATTTCCTGCTAAAAGTGTGCCAGGTAAATACAAGTTACTTGCCTTAATCAGTCGATGAACTATGTAGTTTTCAGCCAACAACGGGGATAATAATGATGAACCTTATCCAAGCCTGTCAGACTTCCACGATTATGAACCAAATCTGGAGTTTGATGACTCGGAACTTCATCAAACTCCTGATGTTATCGCTCAAACAGGTGAGAAACTGCTCTTGCTTTAGTGATATTGTTTGTCTGATGATTCAGCCCCAAGCATTGTTTTTTATCATAATATCAATCCTAAAAAAAAAGAGTTTGATGCAGTAATGAATGATATTATTGATATTGAAAAGATTGAATCCCAAATGAAAGAACCCAATGAAATGGTCACGAAATAGCTATTGTGCTACTTTTTGAACTAGATGCAGAGTGCTTGCTTTCATAAGCTTTGAATGGAACTAAAAAATGTTAGCCTTTGTCTCCCTATGCTATTGAAATTTTTTTTATTGTGATATAAATGTATACTTACCTAGCATTTTGCAGTTGCATGTGTTGGTTCACTAACAAGGGTAAGGAGTGAATAAATTAAATAAAATATATCCATATAGTTCTATATGCTGAGGTCAAAGATTCATCTTACCATGACTTGTCCCTTTTCTTTGAAATCTCCAATGAAGGTGTAGGAAGTATAGTGTCAATCTACTTGACAGCATTTTTTAACAGCTAAATAAAAGGTGGTTTCTAAATTTCTAAATTATTTAATTTATTTATAATTCCAATTTCTTATATAACCCGTGAAAAGCAGTATAGTAGCCTTTGTGATTTTAAAGCTGACCTGATAACAATGGAATCAAATGGGGGTGTAAGCTCACCAATATGTGAGTTTACAGAAGACAATTTTGAAGAAGAGCTGGCAGAGGCATGTGAAGAGAGCTTTGATAGTCTTATGTTCTGCTCCACATCATATCCAGAAGTTGGTGACACACCACCTGAAAAATTCCATGAAATATCAAGGTACCAACAAATTGGACAAAATCTTACAACTTACACAATCTCAGTATAAAGTTTAACTAATGCAAAAGTCAAGTAGTCTGTTTGATAATTCTTTCAAAATATTTATTAACTTCGATCAACTGTATCATGCTTGAAATGTGTAGGAAACAAATAGCAGTGCTTCCAACTTGTTGGAAATTTTGCATATAAGTGAGGTGTTTTTAAAAAAGTGCATGTCTACTTCAGTACCAAAGATCAATGATTTTTAACAAATATAGACTGGAGTGATAATGTAGTCTTTTTATCTTGAATGAGTTTTTGATGCTTTAATCTTGATAAATGTTACAATTGGTAAAATAATATCAGTAGATTACTTATATCAGTTTGGATGTGTTTCTAGAAAAACAACTTAAAAGATACAATTATTATAGGTATGGGATAGTAGATGTTAAAGGAGATGATGCAGTTGGAAGGAAAATAATTGTTGTTTATGCCTGTAAGTTACCACCCATCAAAGAAATAGACCATGGGCTATTGCTTAGGTATGTATGCACATGCTTTGGATCCATATTAGACATAATAAAACCAAGATCTTTTTGGTAAATCACATTTCTGTATATCTGAAAAATAATTTATGGAATAAAATGATACATTTTTCAATATTAGTCTAGGATTGTGAATCATGAAAAGTCTATCTATCAGTGGATGTAAAACTTTGGCCATTCAACCTGTCGTGTATCTTCAACCATCAAAGTTCAAAGACTTAAATAAAAATGGTCCATTTGCATTGGATGTAAGTTCCATAGGGCGATGAATGAGTACAGAAGGATAAAATGTATGAAATCGCTACCAGAAGTTACTATTTTCCGACGTTGATATCGCAGGTTACGTCTACCTTGTAGGGTTGCAAATTGGCAACTGCCGAATTTTAGATAAATCGTGGTTTTCCATCTGTCTTTCAACTGTTAGGTTGTCCACAAACGGCAGGATTTCCCGATTCGATTTCCAAATTCGAAATCCGCATGCGAAATTTTGTGGATGCATGGTACAGTTTAATGCGTCCAAATCAGTTCTGTACCTTGACTGACAAGAAGCGCCCTAGCGCTCATCGGGTTTCGATGGAAGACAGATTTCTACCAATGAGCCGTTAATTTTGGCTGGTTGGAGTTGTTTACTAAACATACTCGATGTTGCGGATGCGGTGGTACCATGCTACCATGGTATGTGCCCACTGTGTGGTGCAACATGAGATGGAGATGCCTTATAAATTTGGTTTAATTCACTTGAACGCCGCCAGATGGGGCATCAAGCAGCTTGCAAGAACAAAGGAACAGTGGCATGGGTAAGATTGAATTTGCCTCTAACAGCCGATCCTGAAAGTTGATTGGCAGCTGGTGCTGTAGACTAATTGGTCAGGTCGGCTTCACATACTGGGTTCATATGCGCACGAATCTCGCGAATGCGGGAAGGGAATATTTATTACATCACTAGTACATACATATCTGATTATAGTTACTACATATAGTAAATGTACTGTAATTTGTCCCCAGCTATCTGAAGTATACCCTAGAGAGTTATGTGAAACAAGATTACAGTCTCGTTTACTTCCACTATGGCTTGACCAGCAAAAATAAGCCTTCACTTGGGTGGTTAGTTCAGGCATACAAAGCTTTCGACAGAAACTACAAGAAAAACCTGAAAGCTTTGTATTTGGTTCACCCAACATCCTTCCTAAAGATTGTCTCACAGATCTTCAGGCCTCTAATCAGTGCCAAGTTCGGTAAGAAGTTGAATTATATTAATAGACTGAAGGAGTTGAATGAACTTATGCCTATTGAGAAGCTGGATATTCCTGAAGACGTCATTGAGTAAGTATTTCAACTGCATAATTAGTTCATGTGATATGGAGAGTTTATTTTTGTGAGTTAGAAAGAGGATCTTTAAGGAAGCAATCTTAATTGACACTTGAGAACAAATTCATAAAATTTTCGTTAAAATAATAGGCAAATTTGTTTAATGTATGCTGAAGCGGTAACACCTCACACCGCACATAGAGGTAAATACAACTATAGTTTATAACTGCAGGAATTGCTTTCTTACATCCATCTTTCGCACTCGTGCGTACGCAATCTATCTCTATGCACGGAAGTTTATATTTCTAAGCTTTTTAGTTTTGTCTCACCGCATTGAAAATCCTCTGCTCAACATATGAGTCTTTCACATTCATGCTTGTCACTGTCAGTACGTCAACTTACTTGACATGGGCGTGCTATTTATGTTTACCTTTTCTTAATCTTCCATATCAAACTTAGCAATGCCTGAAGATACTGTTACACTGTCGGTGGTCTGTGATTTATTGGAGCATTTTCAGAACGTGAATTAAAACAATGATCCTCTACATCCAATTCATGTCGATAATCCATTACCGTAGAATGACCATTGGTTATTTAGTAATATTTCAAAATTCCCCATATCAACAAACGACATAATTCTGACGGATGCGGCAAGGCCAGGTGGACAGAGCAGAATATTGTTTTGGTTTTTGGTACGCTAAATATTCATTTTGTACTCACTAACAACTCTTTTATTTAGAAAAGCTCATTTGCATACAAAAAAGACGCTGCAAGATAGTTTTACTAGTTTTGTACCCGATTCATTATTGCCCACAATTACAGACGAATCCAAAATGTCACTTGTTGATCAGCTTTTCACCTCCGTAGACGTCAAAACGTGATGGATACGTGTGATATAGGGTTTAGCCGTTCCGTCAAGGATTGACTTGTGCCGCAATTTCTGGAAGTTAATATCTGTACATGGTATAGTTAGCCAATCTGTTCACTTATTTCGTATTACATTGTGATGTAACAACAAAAAACTGACATATAGCAACCTGTCAAAGACCAGTGAAGTTATGTAAATTGACAAAATTCCTTACCGTGACACCTATACAGGGTGTTTCAAATTCGACGTTCACCATTGAGATCTCGGTAAATAGGGGCAACATTGCATATTGAAGTAATCATCAAAATGCCGCTTATAGAGTTTTGAAAGTACTTCCTGAGAAAGACGGAAAAAACAAATTTTCCAAAATCGTTTTATTTTTTCCCGACTTTCTTTGGAATTCAAAATAAATATTTTTTCAAGGACGCCATATTGGATTTTTGAGCAGATGAATAGAGTTTTTACTTCTGATTTCAAAAATCTATACTATATCATACATTTTCATTGCCAAACCTTAATTATTCCAGAAAAACAGAAGGTCCAAGGTAGGCCTTGAAATTATCAGATTTCATGTGTTGCATATACTAAACCAGGCCACAAATTGAACATAGCAACAGAGTTTCGAAGACTGAGAAGAGAAATAAATCGAGCAGTGAAAAATTTACAGAGAAGATTTAGGCTTCGCATACAAAATAAGGGACATTTCGAACATCTGTTTATTTATGATTTTTATTTGTATTACCATCAATGACATTTTCATTTTTGTGCTTAGGTTTCACCATATATTTTTATTTCCTTATAATTTCCATCAAACAACAAACTCAAGGCCAACTAAGGAAGTGCATCACTGAAAAGACCAATTATAAATATATATACTTGTATATATATATATATATAAATTTTCAAAATTCCAATATAGCGTCCATATGAGAAAACAAAGTAGGTGGTGGAAATCGATGAAGAAATGTTGAATTGAAAACTTGAGTATGTCATTTTGTAGAGGAGAATAAGTAACATTGACAACATGGAATTTATTTGGAAATTCCATCTGAAATAAAGTCAGGAAAACATAAAAGTGATTTTAGGATAAATCTGATATACAAAACAAATGACTATCTGATAATTTGAAGGCCTAACGAGGAAATTCTGTTTTTTTGAGATAACTAAGCTTTGACAATGTCAATGTATAACATATTATACATTTTTGGAATCAGAATTAAAAACACTATGGCGTTAAGAGAAAAAATAAAGTTGATGCTGGAGGACAAGAGACGAAACGTTATATTGAAATTCTAGTTATGGCTTCTTGTAGAGGAGAAAAAGTTAATTAGCAATTTATTTTGAAATCCGGCTACAAATAAAGTCAGGAACAAATTAAACCGGTTTTTGGAAAATTCGGGTTTTTCCGCCTTTCTCCGGAAGTACTTTGAATTTCGAAACTTGCTAGCGGCATTTTGTTGATTATCAAAATACGCAACTTTGCCCCCATTTAAGCGACTTCGTATATCTTACAGTTTCCTAGATCCCGATGGTGGTCAAATTTGAAACACCATGTATATCAGAACTGATGAAATGAGAAAAAAACTACCCCAAAACTTGATGCTTGACTGGTGGTGCAGTGATCAGAGTGTTCTAGCTACTGCGCATGCACAGGGTATCTGATGTTAGGAAAAAATTTACAGACAACATGAGCAGATACAATTCAATACTAAACTAAATCGAGAAATCTCCCGCGTAGGGCCCTAAAAGCTAATAAACTAGGTACAAGCTTACAGGTTATAAAATACACTTTTCGCCGGTGATTTTTATCTTTATGAAAACAAAAGTTATCCGTAAAATCTGTAAGTTGCCCTCCCGCTGTTATAATTAGCTTTCAAGATCCTACTCGTGAGATTGCACGATTTTTGTCTAGTGTCAAACGAATATGATTGTAGTATTCCATGTTTTGACTAGGAAGCCAATGGGATCATCCTCATATGTTAAATCTGCTAGAGCTCCTATAAAATACACGTTTCTACCAATTTTGTTTCTCAAGACGTTACCTTTTCTAACACATACAAAAAATCTGTGCATATTTTGATTATTCTTCTATCTTAATCTTCAATGACTCAATCCATAGATCTGGCCAGTCTTTGGACAAAAGATTGAGTTTTTTTACCAGCATATCGGAGAATAGCGGGAATTCCAAACAATGAACATGTTACTCTTCCCCTTGTTAAACAATTCATCACCGCACAAAGGAAGCCTTTGAATAGTTCTTCACAAATAGCTAAATAACAGTAACCATTTCCAAAAGATTTCCGACTCTCTACACCAAGGATTTACAAAAAATAAGCAAAGATAATCGAATTAATTTATTATATATGTATATTATTATTAAATGAGTTAAATGGCAATCGTTTGTTGGTGTTCATATGGCGGATCTGTAAAGCCCGGCGATGCCAGTTGGGTCGTGCAGAATTTCCCCAGATCAGGCACAAAAATCCCTCAGAATTGCTAGTTTAAAAAAAAACAAATAACTGTTAATTAATGGAAAGGGCAAGGTTTGGTTCAGAGCGAATGCTTTCTATCCATGAAACGTGTGATATCACCAAAAACTTCCTCAAATTTTAAGGAATACCCCCCAACATGGCAACCCTGTCAAAGCTCCACTGTTACTACAGGCGTCGTTTCGGTTCGTTGCTACAGCACGAACCGCATTGCTGTCGCTTCTCCTGGTATATAGGCTCCATGAGCTAAGCATTCAGCCACCACTGTATACTAACACTTATTAGATGACATTTGCAGGTTATGACTGTTAACATGTTGTCACTTGCATTTTCCCCCTTTGAAAGGTTGCCAGTTGAATTTTTTTTCTGTATAGAACTGCTAGACTAGCACTCTAGTAATCATTGATAGGCACAATTACTCATTCCAGACACGATAAGAAGTTGGGCGGAGAAGTACCACTATCAACTGCTGTGGACCATGTAGACGAGCCAAGTCTACCAACACAACAATTTGGCGTGACATTGCCATTCATCAGGGATTACTACAAGTCTGTTTTACCTCCTGTCGTAAAGCAGTGTGTCGAATATCTGGACCAACCTGACGGTAAAATAATAAATTTTCTGAAAAATATAAAAGGGCAATTTATTTTTAATGGATTTCGGAGTCTTGTTTTTTCCTGCGAGGGTCATCAAAACAAACATTGTGCATAAAATAGTAGTAGTAGTATTTAATTTTTGTGTTATACATATAGATGTTTACACACGTCAAATAATAAATGAAATGCAATATAAACGCCTGGACAATTTACAAATATTCACACAACAACAGTAAAATACAGTATATTTTGGATGGAGCTTATGCTAGAGAAGTCAAAGTACGGAGTTATAAATCTTTAAAGTTGGACAGAAATTCGTCTAAGGAGTAGAAGGCTTTACATAAGAGATACTTTTTAATATCACTCTTGAACTGACCGTCATTTAATACCTTGAGCTTTTTGGGTAATATATTGTAAAGCTCTAGACAATGATAGTGTAATCCATCTTTTATTTTGATCCTCAAAAGATTAGGATGAAAATCTTAAATCTTGTATTGTATGTTCATCTGATTGCTAAATATGCGTATGCTACTTTTCATGTAGCAGAGACACAAGGAAGTGTAAGGATATTGAAGTTTAAATTCATTTCTACTACAAGTGTCATACGAGATAGAAGCTAATGTTCTAATAAAGCGCCTCTGTAGTGCAAAAATTGTCTTGGCATGGCATAAACCACAGTTAATAATGAAGTAGCTAACATGAGAGTGGAGATGCCCAAGATATGCGGCTATCAAAGTTGATTGGCTGCTAATGAAGACATATCTAAATTTAGCAGATTCAGTGTTTTATTTTAAATGTTTAAGATAAAAATTTAGTTGCTGAGTTTTCAACTGATTTGGCTTGACATCAGGTTTTCACTCTGGACCTTTGTTCGTTCACATGATGAGTTGGTTCAGAAGCTGTGGCAAATTGATTCAGTTCTGTAATATCATCTGCAAATGATAATAATGATAAGTTAGAATCACAATTCTGTAAATCATTGAAGTTCAGCAAAAATGAGAGTTGGCCCAAATACGAAGTCCTGAGGCACTCCATACCTTATCAACTGTTTATAGCTCTCCGAGATTTTGACTACATCTAAAAGAGACAGCAACAAAAAGTAACTTCGTCGACTAGAATGCGAAAATGACCCTGTTCAGGAGACGGTCGGTCGTAAAAAAAAATATAAGCGTATACTGACAAAACATAAATTCGATGAGGTTGTTTAATTATTCACTGATAAATATCAGAATTTTCTCGTTTTCCACATTTTTTCTGGCATATATTGTGTACACTCTATTTAAATACAAATCTGACGTGTGTTTTAAGGTGACTTAAAAACCAAATAATATAGCGGTTATAAAAAATCAATAGGACTATTTATTGCTCAGGAAATTGCTTATATTTAGTAAAATTTGCAACTTTTGTTAAGTAAACTTTTACTACCTGATATATTATTTTCGAACTTCAGCACTGGAAACAGAAGGGCTATTCAGGCGATCCGCAAATGCGGTGAAGGTTAGAGCTCTGAAAGAAGCCGCTAATAGAGGCGAGAAACTAGTTTTTGAGGATCCCCACGAAGCTGCAGTGTTACTCAAGAAATTTTTGAGGGAACTGAAGGAACCATTGCTGACGTACGAGCTCTACGACGAAATTGTGCAGTTCCAAAGTACGTGTTTGGATTACTCTTAAGCAAACTTACGCTCCTGCACACGCACTCACCTACCCGTTCTCTCAAACCTAACCCCCCACACACATGTAGTTTGCGTAAACAACTTTTTAAGACCGAGGCTGTTTTTTTGTTACTTTCTGTGCACAGTACGACTCATTTAATTGAATGCAGATTTTTTTATATCATTTATAGTACATCTCTTTTGCCGAGCTAGTACTTGGGTGATCCTAGATATTGTACTCCTCGTTATTACAGCTGCACGGTTTTATTTTATGCGAATTATCCTGAACAAGCTTGAAGCCATTCCCTTTTTGCAAAAGTAACTATGCTACAGTAGTTAGATAAATATATGCATTTGTTTTAGGTTGGAATAAAGATGAACAACTTAGACTAGTTTCAATATTAGTAATGGAAAAGCTGCCCGAGGATAATTACAAAGTACTCAAATATATCATCAATTTTTTGTCTAGGGTAAGTAGAAATCAGAAACTGAGTACAGTCTATCAGATTAATTGAAAGCTGCTTTAGTTTGAAATACTTTTTATCTCAATACTATTTTTTAAAAACCTCATTCAGGATTATCTTATAACAGTGTAACAAAATCGGCAATAGACAATTAAACATTATAGTTTTATTAGGCTATCTGGTCATCTGTCAGCACAGATTCATTGATCAATCAATATTTTTAGGTTTCAAAAAATATGCAACATTTTTTAACGCATTTCTCGTATTTTGTCAAATAAACTTGACTGGATATCTAAAAACAACTATCGTCATACTGAAAATTTGGTACTGTCTAAGAGGTTTAGATGTACTTATTGCCAAATTTTATTTTTTAGACAATACATAATTATTATCATAACCACTACTCGACGAAATTCAAAAATGTGTAGTTCTCTCCAAGTATAGGTGTCTATCAAAAAAGCAACTAGGATTTTTTACGTCATTACTCAAATCATGAATATTTTTTAAATGTATTTTCACAGGGATGTTGCAGGTTAACCCTGAATGGTTTTTGAAAAACGTGTCTCGTAGCAATACTCCAGGCTATAAAGTGTATGGCATGCTGTACGAGAATTGACGGAAGATAAAGGTCCCCAATGCCTGTCCACATAGTAAACACTATTTTATTGCAAAACCAATTACCTAAGAAATACTCATTTATTCTATGAAATTAGATGCGAGTCGAGTAGCCTATTGCAATGTTGCGGGTGTCAGTAGAATGAGAATAGAGATAGAATAAGAACGTAAAAAAAAATTAAATAACTATCACGTATTGTGCAGGGAATCCACAATGTTACAGGAGATATGTACTGACTAACTTGCAGGCACTCTAACTCGGAAACTACTAGTGGAGAGACTTTGGGCCAAAATATAAGTTTGATCTACGTGTTGAAATGTACAACTTACTAAATTCTTAAAAAAATAGTCTAAAGCCAATACCGGCAAAGTTTGTGCGGAGTCTTTTCTACGTTATTTCTTGATAGGTTATGGAGCGTTCAGACTTGAACAAAATGAATGCCCAAAACTTGGCGATTGTATTCGGTCCGAACTTGGTGTGGTCCGAACTGGTCTCCATGTCTCTGGCTGCAATTGGCCCCATCAACATGTTCACCCAGTTCCTGCTGGTACATCAGAATGACATTTTTATGATATAGATACATATGCTGTGATCAGATTAATCTGTTAGATTCCATGTAATGAACTGTGTAGGGATTAACGATGTACGAAATTGTGAGAATTGCTTGTCGGCAAATTGCTTTAGTCAGTGATTAACTATTACTTATTGTATTCAAAACACTATTGTTACATAAAGATTGAGATGTGACAAGATTGCCTAATGGACGTTCTTCGCATTAATTGTTGGGGGAACTAAAAATATGTGAAATATTCTCGAAATCTTCCCATTTTGCGTTTATGTAAAACGTTTTTGAATCCTTCAAAAGGATCATTTCGTGAACAAACAGCTTGTTTTGCAGCCTAAAATTACTGTTTTATCATGGGGCCGCAATGAATGAAAAGTCCTATAAAAAATCATTAGGATTCAATTTTCTGATCTTGTGGGTTCATATGTTTTAACAGTTCGTATATTCATGAACCATACAAACACAAGGTGCACCCTGTTAGCAGCATTGATAGCCAAAACTCTTCTAGCTCTATCCAATCTAACCAAATCGGTGACACCACCGATTAACCTCACCTATTGACACCTGCATGGAGTCAATATACCTTTAGAAACTACAGCAATGCTGTTTGTGCTGTAAAAACGACCCCGAAACTTGACGCCTCGAGTACCAGTGGAGCTCTGACAGGGTTGTCAACACGTACAGCTACACGAGTTCACAACAAGTGTACAACAACTTCTGCTGAGTTAACATCTTGTAGAAAAACCTACGTTATGTCACAAAAAAACTACGAAATGTCGAAAAAAACAAAGATACGTAATAACCGTGCCGGTTTCCATGTTAAGTGATTTTCCCCCAAATTTGGGGGATTTATACTTGGGGAATTTTTTGGGGATATAATGTTCTGGGGGAAGTTGCTCTTTGAACCAAACCTACTCATTTGCGTTAATTGACTGTGATTTGGGGGATTTTCTTTTGAAAAAGTATCAATACTGAGGGATTTTCGTGCTTGTTCTGGGTAAATTCTGCCCGACCCATCTGGCAACGCTGTACTTGGGAGATTGGCCATATGAACACTTCCCTTAGTCTAAGAGTCCTCCCACTTGAATCTGTCGGTTTGTTTTTTTTATAAAACTTGATTTTCATGAATGATAAAATAGATCTGTTCTACTAATACCATCCATCAACGCCACCTGGACGTGATGGGGGTGGTTGAAGATCCCTTATGTGAGGGCTGCGCGGTAGATGAAGAGACATCGGCGCACGTTCTGTGTCAGTGCAAATAATTATATTTTTTATATGTAATTGAGAAAATGAGTTTTTAGAGTATTTTTCCGGTGAAAGCCATTCTGCAAATTTAGTGTTATACACTCTGGACAATCCCCAAACGATTTATAAAGAAGTCCATTAGACGATTAACAATCTACCACTAATATAGAACTGAAATACAAGCTTGAGAATAATAGTTTTAAGCAGTATAAAAGTAAATTACTAATCAACAATTTGACATGTTAACAAGTGATAACGAATAAAATGAAATTTAACATTGATATAATGAACCATGCACCTATTACAGTTTGTTTCATACATTGTTAGTTCCTTGTGTATATTCCTGTTGTACAAAGATGCAATGCAAATAGTGGTCATAGTAGCGCATAGCGCCATTGTAAAATATATGTTGCCTGTGTATGGCGGTAAAATTCATTTTCATTTGATATTGTAGCCCGACGTATTCATTTGTTTTCTGTACTTTATATTCGTCATTTCAATTCAATGGAGAGTCAACCTCAAGATGTGACAACAAGTTACAACGATTTTAAATCATGTTTTAATTTGTAGTGTGTAATGCTTCACATTCAGGCCTTGTACATGTGTTGATTTTGTTTCATGTCTATTTTCTTTTGAGCTTTACTAAAATATTTCACTTATTCTTGTCAATATCTAAACCTAAGCTGCATCAACAATACAAACAACATACTTTTAGATTACAGGCAGCTTCAGCTATACTAAATATTTTTGACAGCATCATTTAGTTGGCGGCACGTGTTTAAATGTATTAACAATTCGTTTTTTTTTATTTATGTTTTATTTTCAACATGATAGAAAAACTCTGATAGTTGGATTGCTACTTAAATTAATTTATATCTGCTCAAAATACGTAACAAGGAGTCGTTGACATTTCGTTTTTTCTTGTTTTATGACCTCCTGAGGTCACACTTCAGGACGCACAATTTTTGTGTCACCATAGAGTGTGTGTGGTTCCTATTGCAAGTGCAGCTTTGGGTTTTGTATCTTATGTTACTAAATTTATTAGTCATTGTTAAATATATCGAACTGATGTCCTGCTAATTTCCAGATACAGGAGATTTGTAAGATATTTAGCTTAGCCCTCAAATAGTTACGTAAAATATAGATTACGTTGTCACTAGCTTAAATTATGCGCACTAACTTCTGGAGTATAGCTTTGACAACAACATTGATGAGGGTATGGCATGCCCAACAATCATTAATACGTAACTGCCTTGAGGAAGATCATTTTTCATCTATATTTATGTCAGGTATTTTGATGATGATCTCTGCAAAATTGAAAACGTGTGTGTTCCAGTTTGTGTTTGTGGATCAAAATACTGGCCTTCTAGCTATAAGCACCTCTGAAGAGCTATTCAGAGAAATCCAAATATCACTGACGAGGTAATGTGCACCAGAGAAAAGCGTGCACTAAGTATGTTGAAAAGAGTGCCCCCATTGCAACGTGGCAATCCGCAGGCCCCGTCACTCGAGTTGCTATCTTTAACATACATATTCCACTCTTATCGTGATTCTCTCTCGTACACATTACGACGTCAGTGGTATATGGATTTATCTGTAGGAGATCTATGTATATTTTAACAGCTAGTCTCAGTGAACATATGTAAATGGGCTCTGAAGCTGTGTGATCAAGTGGTTTATGCAAGGTAAACATAACATTATTACCTATAGCATATACACACTCATACCTATTATAAATGAAGTTTTAGAGGAGAAAAATATTTATACCGCAATTTTTATCAGTCCATACCGCATCATTGTATATAGAGTAAGATTGTATAGAAATGCAATTTATATTTACATGTATTTACACAAATGTAGTTTAACTACTATATACAACCATGACTAAGGCTTATATTTTTCTTGGAAAGTCATTGAAGCTAAAAAAAGCTGTTTGCATGCAAAACCGATAGTACTATGGTGCAAAAGATCCCATTTTTGATGACCCATTGCTACTTCATAGATTTGCAATCTTACCCTTTGTTGTACGACTAACATATGCTAAATTCTAAATCAAATATTATTGTAAACAAAATCCTTTCATACTATAAGTCAGAAGGAAATTATTCATAATACATGCTCAGTTGATCTCTGAATCAGACCAGGTAATACTGTTTTAACACCACCCCACGCCAGAGAGATCCCCAGTCTTCAGTTGCAGTGATACTGATTCACCATGCACATCAGAAAGTCCAAAATATCCTATTATACAAAATGTTTTTATCTATATTTGTTCGTCTTATACTCGATAAATATGAGCCTTGTACAAAACTTGTTAGTAGATGGAAATAGACTGAAATTTTTTATTTTTGCATCTACTTATGTGGTGGATAAATTAGTCAAAATACCAAAGAACTATGTTTTTTTAGCTGCATTTGATACTACGTCAACCCAAAATTACTCCACATCGTTTTTCATTTCCTTAGGAAAGTTAGAGATTTATCAATGTTAGGTACCTTTTATACTTCTGTAATTTATGTTGATAGTATTTTGAGGGAAATATTCTTTTGATTTTCTACCTCCTTCAAAGATTCCATAAAAAATATTTTTGTATCTTTATTTTTCAGCTAACTCTTATTTCACTTGTATAATTAAATACAAATAAATACAATATTTATACTCATACCACCCCTTTTTATTTAGTTGAAACACCACCTATGCACCACTAGATTTTGCTTTTTTCTAATTTTTCTAATACACCATCAACCTGCAAAAAATATTATTTGCAAAAAATAATTATATAGGATTTGTATCTCGAGATAAAACATTGTCATTTGAAAATAAAAAATGAAGGCATAAAGTTCCTGTTCCAGATAGGATATATATAAAATCAGTTGAAACAGACTAAAATTGCTACTTCATCTCTACAAGATGAGAGATGGCATATGGTTAGCTATTCAGTCAATATTTGCCTCTCTACTTATACCAGGAGATTCAAATTTGACCCTCATCATTGAGATATTTGAAACGAAAAAGGTCCGTTAAAAATGGGCAAAGTCACACAATTAGGTAACTAAGAAAATGGCACTTAGAAAGTTTCCCAATACAAAGTATTTCTGAAAACTAACAAAACAAAGTTGGGATTTATAATATAATAATAAATTGCACATTAGTGTGGCTCGATTAGAATTCCAATCTGATGTTTAATTTTTTGTTCTCCATGATCAACTTCATTTTTTATTATGGACACCAAATTAGATAATATGCAAAAATAGCATATAGCTTTATTCTGATTACAAAAAAGGCAAATGTGTCATACGTTGACAGAACAAAGTTTCAGTTATTTGGAAAAACATATTTTCACATTTGGTCTTGATAATGACAGCTATCACTTGTTTAATCATATATATCACCAACTAACGATTGATGTTTTACCCCTCCATTAACTATGACAAGGAATTTTTTTTTCAATAATTATGGTTTTGCATTGTTAACGGATGATATTACATTTTTAAAACCAAAATTAAAAGCTTTATTCACCAGAAATGCAATTTTGAATTCACATCCATCTTTCAATGTTCTATTTCATTACATAACATGGATTTGATGACTCCATAAACACGGTTGAGTTTAATATGGATTAAGGAGTATTGATTATTTTTTTATTTTTTATGAATGTACAGTAGAACCCCGATTATCCGAAATCCACTTTATCCGAAACAGATCGCATACAATAATTTCTCCGTTTTAACCGAAGTTGTTCGGAAAATCGGCGCATGATCCAAAATAGCCGCCGGTAGTTCCCCTTTCGGCGTTTTCGTCATTAGATTCGCTGCCGGTAATTCCCCAAGCGCGTTTGCGGAATTCACTGGAATGTGTGCGTGTATGTTTGTTTCAGTCAGGTTCATAATCGCTAAGATGGAGCAGCATAGAAGTAAACGTAAACGCCTTGTTATTAAAATAGAACAGAAACTTGATGCAATCAGACGTTTAGATAGAGGTGATTTGCTTAAAAACGTGGCAAATGATTTGGGTGTGGGCGTGAGTACCATTTCAGAATGGAAAGAACAACGCGAGAAAATTGCAAAGTGTTCTGACATCATCGCAGCCGTCACGGTAAACTATGAAAAAGGGGGAGTATCAATAAGTGGATGATGCTTTATATCTGTGGTTTACACAGAATCGAGAACGTGGAATACCAATTTTCGGACCAATTCTAAAGCAAAAGGCAGTCAACTTAAGTGAAGAATTGCCAGTTATTGAGGCGCCTGATAACTTCACAGTCAGTGATGGTTGGCTGCACAGATGGAAAAAACGACACGGTATAGGAGAATTAAAAGTTTACCGAGAAAATTTATCTGCCGATCAGCCGCATTAAAATTTGGAAAACAGTTAATGAAGCAGTATGGTTTACATCCAGAACAAATTTACAACTGCGACGAAACAGGCCTAAATTATAAAATGTTACCGGCGAAAAGTTTAGCTTCAAAACAAGAATCTGGAGAATTAATAGTTTACCGAGAAAATTTATCTGCCGATCAGCCGCATTAAAATTTGGAAAACAGTTAATGAAGCAGTATGGTTTACATCCAGAACAAATTTACAACTGCGACGAAACAGGCCTAAATTATAAAATGTTACCGGCGAAAAGTTTAGCTTCAAAACAAGAATCTGGAGCTCCTGGTTACAAACGCAGTAAAGAACATGTGACTATCATTGCTTGTAGCAATGCTTCCGTACACAAAAAACTTCCTTTGTTGTTAATCGGAAAATCAGTTAAAGCAAGAGCATTTAGACACGTCCGTCCCAATACTCTTCCAGTGTGGTATAAAAATCAAAAAAATGCCTGGATGGATGCCGCTCTGTTTAAGAACTGGTTTTACAATCAATTTGTTCCCAAGTCAGAACGATATTTGAATGAAGGCGGATATCCGAGAAAGTGTATTTTGCCATTAGACAATGCTCCGAGCCAAGTGAGCAGCAACTTAATGAGAATAACAACAAAAATTTACATGGTGTGAAAATCTTACCCAAGCAGATGGTGAGTTGATTAATGGTGATGAACTGGTGGAAGAATTAACTGATACAGAATTAATAAAAACTGTTTGTTAATAAAACAGTTTTAAGTGATGCTAATGACAATGAGACAGAAATCTCTGCCAAAATATCACATTTTGAGAGATTAGAAGCTCTACAAAAGGCAATGACTTATGTTGAACAACAAGAAAATGCAACAGCAGCTGATGTGCTACTTATCAAACATTAGAGTAATATTGCTGCCAAAAATGGAACAATGTAAAACATGTACAGATAAAAATTACTTCCTTTATTACTAAATATGTACTCTTAAAAATCTATGTTTGTATCCACATGTTTAAATTTTATGTAACTTTATATAGCTATATACTAACTTTTCACACGCATTTACTTTTTTCAATAAAAGCATTATTAGTTATATATAGTTTTTCCCTGTCCTTATTTTTTAGTTATAAGTTTTTGTGTATTCTCTGTTTCTCTACTAGCCAGTAAGCTCTCCTACATGTAACTACATTCAAATGCGTTTGTAAGAGTTTAAATACATAAATAAATTAGTCTAAATATTTATTACCCTTTTATCTGAAATTTCGATTATACAAAAGCACTTGGGTCCACATTATTTTGGATAATCAGGGTTCTACTGTATAACATTCCATTCCATTTAAAGGGAATTAAGTTGGATGTGTAGGTCACAATTGGGACCCTATAGAATAGTAAATATTTTAGACATGTGCCGCATATACCAGAGACTTCTATTGAACAATTTGGGTGACCTCAATCATAAATGATATAATAATCTAGTTTTGAGATGTTTTAGTTAAGGGGCAATACTCGATACTCACAGTCCCTGATACTCAGAAACACCTTACATAAAGCAAATGATAATCAATAACTAAATGAATTGCACATACCGTTTGGAACCACCATGTATTTGGTTTAAAAACTAATTTGCTAAAGAAACCCATGTCAGATTTTGGTGATATCACATGCAAGTGTAAATGGGATATGCTATTAAATGGAGGACAGTGGAAGCCTAGTATTATATCATTAATATCCCCTCCTCGTTCTTCAACCACTCTTTTACCATTTGTTATTAGTTTTTCCACTAAAATATACAATGCATTAGGCAAAAATTAAGGTAACTGATTATAATACTCTTACATAAATCTTTATGCTCAGGAGATGTTAAATAGTTAACATTAATAATGTGTTCCTTGGGTACAGCCAAATAGTGATGCTTTGCAGCCGGTTTAATGTCTTTAAAGACCACAGTTTCATTATCATTCAGTAAGATCTCTCCAGGAGATTCCCCAGATATTATTTTACAGAAAATGCAGTTACTTCCAGCAGACATCTGTAAAATATGCATAAAAACTTGTAATGATGAGTCATGTTGTCATGTTATTTTCATTATATATATATATATATATATATATATATATATATATATATATATATATATATATATATATAAATATATAATTTACCAAGCTGATATATCTTGTTGAATATGCCTGAAGTGGTTCAACAGTATTTTCTTGCTAAAGTTATGTTCACTGGTCGAGTGTAGGGATGCCGGTCGAGTGATAATATTGTTGTTTTATCATAATTTTTCCCACGTCTTGTTGACCCCTCCGGTTGGCCGTTTGACTTTTATTTTATTTCTTGGGTGCGCTTGCGCTGTGTCTGTGACATGCTGTGCTGCGTTCCTAAATTGTTAAGTCGGTGATAGACGTACATACTTTAAGTACACAGTTTTAAAGATCGTGAGCTTACTTGGCTCGACGTCGGTGACACACGAGAAGCTGGTTCACACTGTGTTGCGATGTCGTCAACGGAAGAAGCTTTGTATTATTTAGGAATTATATCCTATTATATTTTACAAACTAATAAGAAAAAACGAAATCGAAAAGTGTGGGTAAAGAAGTGGCTTACGAAGAGATCATTTAGTGAGAAAGTTACGGTTTGAGTAGTAGTAGTAGAAAGATTTATTTAGCACATTTGGCTACAGAACAATTGTAAACAACTTAGAACTAGTAAATTCAAGCCATATGGTGTATCATGTAAATGCTGGGCAACCTATAATTGTAGATTTAACAAGTGATTTCTCAATTTTACTTTATTTTGTCAAAGTTTGCTGGTCTTTTATCTCCAAGTATAATTTATTATATTCAATCAACCCTTGATGGAATACAGATTTGTAGCATATGTTATACTTTTTGGTCATTAAATGGAAGTCATCTTTATTTCTGGTATTATGTAAATGATGGTCGACATTTGATGATGTTAAATTAGTTAGACTTGATGGAAATATATTATTTTTTACTCTATAAATGAATATCATTACAAGATATTTGATAAAAATTTTTACATTGAGCCATTTTAATTTGCTAAGCATTTGCCTAATTGGAGTATATTTATCTTTATTTAGTATTATTCTCATGCACTTATTTTGTAAAGATTTCCATAATTATTTCAGAATGCCTGAGCTGGTGTACGAAGAACTTTTGCGCTTAGTTAGACCAATTATAGCTAAACAGGATACTTGCATGAGAGAAGCTATTTCACCGCATGAACGTTTAAGTGCAACATTACGATTTTTGATAACTGGTGGTACATATACAGATTTAATGTATTCATCAGCAATATCAAGACAGTCATTGGGAAACATAATTCCTGAGACATGCGATGCAATTTACTCTGCACTGAAGACATATTTGAAGGTATGTAGTATACATTTCTACCTATTTTATGGAAAAATAATACTAATAGTCTACTAATCAGTCTTTATTAAAGTTCAAATATTCCATCAGGGTGTCCGGTACACTAATAATTTGCGAGTCTTGCGACAAGTGAAATGCTTCTGTTTCTTGCATCTGTACTGGAACAGCTGGGATGTGTACTAATGGTGTTTGGGGGTGGACTGGACCAGGACGATGTATAGTTGTATTAAAAGTTAATTTTTCAAACCGTCAAAAAAATACTTCATTGATTATTTTTCAGCTATGCCTTGTTGAGTAGGAGTCATATTACGAAGTTTAGCTGCGATATTTTTTCCAATAGCATCGTATTCATCTTCAGGCTTTTCTAATTTTTCACCTATCAACGATATTGTTTTTGCAATTTCTTCATTGGCTTGTCGTGTACGACGTGTAGATGATGCATTTGATGTTGAAGGTGTCGCAGGGTTAGACAGGTTGTGGTTGGTTATCTGTAAATTAAAACATTATCATTATTCATTCATTACTGACTCTAGTTTTTTGTTACAGGTCCCGAACTCAGAACAAGAATGGATAGCAATCGCTGAAGAGTTTGAGCGTAGATGGCAATTTCCAAACTGCTTAGGAGCTGTTGATGGGAAACATGTTGCTATAGTCCCTCCTGCTGGAGCAGGATCACATTTTTTTAATTATAAAGGATATCATAGTATCGTTTTTTTGGCAATTGCTAATCCAAATTATGAATTTATCTATGTGGATATTGGAACAAATGGACGTATTTCTGATGGTGGTGTATTACGAAAAAGTTCTTTCAAAGATTGACTTCTAATAGTTTAAATCTGCCTAGTCCCAGAAAACCAAGTAGACATTCAGAGGAGTTGCCTTATGTATTTATGGGCGATGAGGCTTTTGCTTTGAGGACAGATTTTATAAAACTATACCCACAAAGGCAATCTCAGGCTCGCTCAAGTAAAAGAATATACAATTAAAGAGTATGCAGGGCTAGAAGAATTATAGAAAATGTTTTTGGAATTTTGGCAGCAAGATTCCATATTTTTCGATCGCCTATAAATGCCAATGTTCGCAATATTAAAAAAAAATGGTTTTGGCATATTGTGTATTACACAATTTTTTAAGAAAAAAGCAACATAAATTTACAGTCCACGTCAATATTCTGATAGTGAGAATCATGAAAATGAAACTCTTGAATTAGGAATGAGGCCACAAAATGGAGAATTGCAGCCACTACAACAAACACATGATCACAATTCCACTCGACAAGCAAAAAATACCCGAAAAAAGTATGAAACTTACTTTAATACTAGCGGTGCAGTGTCATGGCAACAAGCAATGTTATAATAATAATATTTATATATTTTTACCTCAGTATCATTCTTATTATTGTTCACCTGTAAATAAATCACTTATCTGAATACTTTGGTACATTTTTTTTTTAACTATAACATCACAATATCATTCATTATTGTAACTCGTCGAACAAAGGATACACGTAGTGGGTACTATAGAGAAATCCTTTATTAATTTATTAAACTCACCTTGGCTTTGATCATTCAGAAATTCAAGCTGAATATAGTACCATAATTTTGGTATATATACCTGGTCTGTTCCTGACCCCGTCCTCATGCTATCTCGCACTTTTCTGAATTCTTTACGGTATCCAGCTCTGAGTGAATTAATTTTCTTTTTAACATTATCAATGGTGGCATCCCTTTCCACCTAACGTATTATTTCCAATAAATTATTGTATGCTTTTAACTTTATATTCTTGTCTTTGTAACCAGTACTTTTTATTTGCCAAAGGCAAGGGCTATTTCTAAAACCTTCGATAAATTCAGTTATCAGTTCATGTGAATATGTACGAAAATCACTCATTTTGCGAATTAACACCAGAGTTAACCAAATTCAACAAAAGAAACGCAAATATCAAATAATTCAGACACGCATTACACGTGCGCCTCCACGGACTAACGAAGCAAAATGGTGGCTCGCGGCTCGCAGTGCTGCTACACGTACGAGCCAAGACGAACTACGAGTAAGATTTCAAACCGATTGGATCGGCGGCGAGCTTGCGCGGCAATTTTAAAGTTCGCGAACTTACGGCGACACACATGCGAAAAAGGTTGTCGAACCACAAGTCCGCCTACTTACTCGCATGTCTATCACCGACTTTATAGAGTGTACTTTGTACTATTCTGTAATGCGGGTCCCACACGATGCTTCCAGCTCCAACGTTGTATACAACGTTCGACTCCCCACAATTGGCAAGTGCGTCTCCTACACGATGGGATGAACTTTTTAGTCTCGGACGTTCGACGCATTGTGGTGCCAACGTCTATTATCGGTGTCAATGTCGCGCGTGAACCTTTAAACCTGAAAGAAAAATTATACAAAATAAGCGCGCCGAAAAGTAATTTCAGATCTGTCCTCATCGACCAAAAATTGACTGTCACAAGCCTCAAAAATGTCGAAAAACGAAGTTTGACCGTTTTTGTTTGTTTTTCGACGATAGCTCCATCGCCACTGAACCGATTTTCAAAAACTGCAGAGCTTTTTCGCCATTTTCATAGTAGTAACCTAGGGTCAAAATTTCATCAAAATCCTGATAGTACTTTCAGAGTTATCATTTATTTAATGTTTTTTGTTAGTTATGAAATGGAAGTCAATATATTTCTCAACTAGTCTTGCATTGCAACAGGACATTATAATGAAACAACTTTAAGCACTTGATAATTTATAATTAAAATACATATCCTTAGGCCAGCCATAACTCACCTGCGAAACGTACACAATATTAGCAACATGAAAAAAGTGTTGTTATGGCAGTATATGTGTATGTATACTAATTTAATCCTTTCTCCTCAAAAGTTAGTTACGAAACATACATTATTATTAATATGTAGGTATTCAAATCAAAATACTTGCCACATACCACTACTTCACCACAATCACAACAAACAAATAATGTTTGTCGCCGCTACTGGTTCTAACCTAAAACTATCAAACACATGACATCTAGTGTGGGAGCGTAACGAGCCGACAAGAGCCCGAACGTGCCATGTGGCGAACGTTGGGCACATGAAATCCATCAGCGCTCTCCTACACGATGTGGCGCATGGCCATGTGTCCAACGTTGTAAGGCATTCGCTACATCGTGTGGGAGCGGTTTAACAATTTACAGTGTTCGTAATTAAATTATTTGACGTACTTGTTCCACGTGTTCGGAAATACAACGTAATCCTTCTGGAACGTCAAAATTGCAGTTTTCTTCCCGTGCTTAAAACCTTGGGAATAAGACTTTCGGAACTTATCATTCTTATGGTTCATTGTTTGTTACTTCGTCTGTTTATCAAAGGTACTCAAAATTCGCAGAATATATAATCAAATCCAAGCGAATAACCAAAATTTCTGTGTTATGTGCCGCGGTTATAATATGGTTCAAGATGACACACGGGTTGATGACGTCAGTTACACGAATCGCTTGAACGCGTTGGTTTTAACCGCGGTTTTGTTGCAAGTTGTTTATTTTAGAAAAGCGCGTATATAATCTCTGATTATTTTTAATATCACTTAATAATCGGTGCTTTTAAGTCTGCAACTGTATATGGAAAGTTTAAATAAGAAACCTTTCATAATATTCATGGGAGAAATGTTTTTTTCAGATTTTTTTTAATGATGGAACCATGGCTTTGTAGCTATGATAACTTTCAATTCTCTAAATTTTTCCGCATGCCAAAGAAAATATTTATTGATTCAGCAGAAATGATGAAAAAAGAAATTAGCAAAACCGTATACAGGTGGATATCATCTAGTGAGTTTATATGGCCATATTTTAACCCGTAGCCACAGACGTGGAGTCAATTTGACTCCTTGCTAGTATGTGGAGGGGGATTTCCCGTTTTCTCCTCAGTCTATCTGTCCATGCCTAGAGGTACCTTTTCATCGAGTAGTATTGAACTAGCACTGAGACAATTGCGTTGATTGTGTACGTTATTTACATTTCATTACGACTTGAATTTCCGACGGAGTCAAAAGGACTACAGGTCTGTGATAATGTTATATTCTTATTTCTGTATTTCATGAACATGCTCGGCTTAGTTTAGGTTTTTAGGATGGATTTTGATAGCAAAGCTGGTCCCTCAAAAATAGTTAGATATGGCGATTCGGACTACGAAGAAACTTTGCTGAAATGGGCTGCTGAGGTGGATGAGGAAAATGAAAACGGCAGTGGTATTGATTCTGATGCCGAATTCATTTACAGTGATAATGAGAGCGTTCGGAACAAGAATGGACAGAGATTGCGGAAGACTTTCTACTGAAGAAGATGAGACATCGAACCGCGTTTCTACAAGAAACTATTTCTATGGAAAAAAACCATTTCAACTGGTTTGCGTGGACTGTGCAAAATGAAAAAATTACTTTGGAAAACCTACTGCACGTTTCCAGAATATTACCTTCACGTTAATTTCTAATCGTTATAAGTATTCTTTTTCATGTTTTTAACGAGTTTTGTATGAAAACTACCTAGCAAGTTAATTTTTTTATGTTAAAAAGTTACCAAAAATGTTATTGTAAATATTCACGACAATTGTGTGCAATAAATACATTTCTTTAAAATCTGGTTGCATTTTACTGAGGATTTTTTTTTATTAAAAACGATATTAAAACAGACACTATTTAAGTGATATAACATAGAGGTAAACTTGTTTTTATTTTCCAAATATGTTTTCCATGGCCTTCATTATAGGAGTCATTTTGACACCACGTCTGTGGTAATGTTCAATTTATTGGCCGTCTGTGGTTACGGGTTAATATTCTTGGGGTATATGGCTACACATGATACTTTGTTAAGCATAGGAACTACATTTAAAGTGTCCCCAACAACCGTAATGAGTTTAATTAATAAGGTGCTCCACTTTATGGTAAAACTGAAGTCAGCCTGTATCATTTTTCTCAAAAATGAAGCTAAAGTACAATAACAATATCCAATACCCGGCAAAATTCTAACTTGTCACATTTCAAAAAATAACCAGAAATATAAAACTACTCTTGAGTTGGGTAAATACCACAATTTTGCGGTGATAACTATGACATATAACAGCTGATTCGTGACGTCGCGGATCTTATAACCAAACTGATAACTACACTCGCTTGAACGGATTGGTAAATACCAACCCAAAATGGTAAATACCATTTCCATTTGGTTATCCGCTTGAATTTGATTTGTGTTTTTCACGATAAATGTTCTATCACGTATCCATTCCATGTAGTAGAAAAATGGTGGCCGAAAACGTAAATAGAAATTAGAAAGTAGTATGCCGTCATCAAGTGTCGTAATAAGACTTTGTAATAATTTAGGCGTTCTCAAAAAAAATGGTACACAGTATTCCAGAGCAGGGGGGTGAAACGTCTTATGGGCACAAAATACATAAATCTCTTGGCAAAATCTAGGACACTTTCTTACCAACAGAGTTTACACTACACATTAAATTTTTTATTATTGATATAATTCCCAATCGAGAAATTATCGTTCATAATCTTCATATAATAATAGTAATAATAACCTTTGTCATATATTTTTCAATGTAAAACAATAAGCTTGTTTTTCTTTTGTAAATCAGTCATGTCTCGATTTGGGGTTGCGTCTTCGTACGTCGCTACTTTAAAGTACTCATGCAAATATCCTTCTTGCCAAAATTCCTGTTTCCACATTGTTCGTAAATCTGCTTCTATAAATAAAAATAAAATAAAGTATTGTTGCTGCATGGAAGGCAACTTGTAAGATATCTCCCGCTCGTAAAGTTTCCAATTATTATGTTTGTGAGGATCATTTCTCAATGTTTGATCGTAATAATCCGCAAGATCCTTCACGTCTCAGATATCTTACCATACCAGTGTCCCCCAGTACAGTTTTAAATTCAAATAATAATCATCCTACTAAACCAGGTCCCAGTTCAGTATCTAGAGTTTTATTCAATGACCCTCCTTCTGGAGAGGATACCACAAATCCAACCTCTTCTGAGCAAAATGAAAATTCCAATGTTATTCTGGAAGATCAATACATTGAAATCAGTAGAAGTGGTTCTAGAACAGAATCTTACTATTTAGATAAATATTCTTTTTTGTTGTTGCTCTGGCATATTAACAAAGTCTGGTACATCAAAGAATTAATTGAGCCCTAAGTCAACCGGAATGTTTGCTCAAGGCTATCCAAATTAAAACAATTTTCATTGTCGCTGGGGTTGACAAATCAAACTATTTCAATTTGTTGAAGGCTGGCAAATAACAATTAGATCTGCTATGTCACTATGGAGAGATCTTAAGGAGAAGGGCTTGAAATATCTTTGATTGAGAAATTTAAATCAAGATTCCCTGGAAAATTTATTTGGTAAAGTAAGACAGCATGGTATCTTCAATACAAATCCCACCTTTCATCAGTTGTTGCTGACTTGAAAACAGTAGTTATCAATAATTTCAGCACACCTTTCTCTGAAGGTAATTGTAGAATCGTTTTTTGTGGTACTTTGGCCGATTTCAGTGACTTTTTGGATAAATATGACAAAAGTAATGATTCAGTGCTTGATTTAGATCCTGAGATTCTAAGTGACTCTGACATGGAAATAATGGACAGCTCTGTTGAATGGAATCCTTCAAATGGTTATGTGGCTGGGTACATTTTAGACATACTCGAAATTGATAGTAATTGTGAATCCTGTGCAAGGTTATTTTCTTTGGTTGTCACTGAAAAACATCCGTTTGTGACGTTTAAAGAGCATGATAAACATCACTTATTCACTTAATAATAGAGAAAGCTCCGGACGTCTAAAAATACCTTTATATATTGTCAATGTACTGTGATGATAAATTATTATTCATATATTTAACTATTTAATCAATATTTTATTAATTACGCATTTATTTTTTATTTTCCCAAAATTGGTTACCAGCAAAACTGCTGAATCAGGTATTTCCTTTATTGAGGATATTTTATGCATCTATGCTCATAAAATATTTCTTCAATATGGGATATATCACTTTCAGCAGATTTTAAATTGTTAACAAACTAAATCCTCGGCACATTCCTAATCTCCCGGTGCATTCTTTGAATTCCTTCGATAGTTCCTCCAGATCTCCAGGCAAGTAGGCGGCGCAACCATCTGACAAAACGTCAACGGTGTTGCCGTTATTTAACGTGCAGCTCCCCCTTCTTCAGTCTTATGTGTTTTGTGTTCCAGAGTAAAATTTCATCAGTCAATCTTAATTCAATTACTGTGTACGGTATAGGCGTATTCTTTAATTCACCGGTGCAACCAGTTAGCCAATTTTACTTCCTGTAATTTCCGTCTGAACGACCGGTTGTACACCAAACTTGTCTATATAGTTTATAGACAAGTCCTCTTAGAATCGTGTCCATCAGCCTTTCAAAGGCAGCAGGAGCATTGCACAAGCCGAATGGCATCACATTAAACTGACATAATTTGGTGGCCACCGTGAATGCTGTCTTCTCCCGATCTTCAGGGGCCAATTCTACTTGAAAGTATCCGCTTTTTAGGTCTAGGGTGGAAAATATTTTTGATCCAGCCAGGGTATCCAGAGTGTCATCAATAGGCGGAAGAGGGTAGCTGCCCTTCTTGGTCACGTTGTTTAACATTCGGTAGTCCACACAAAATCTGGTTGAACCATCTTTCTTTTTAACCAAAACTACCGGTGAGGCCCATGGACTGTTGGACGGTTCAATGATTCCCTCGTTGGCCTTTACTGTCTATGAACTTGTCAGCCTCCTCTCTTTTAGCAAGTGGGAGTCTTCTTGCCATCTGCCAGGTGGGACATTTTCCGTATTGATCTTGTGCTGGACTATATTGGTTCTTCCTTTTTGTCCAGTATCGAATACATCTCGATATCTATATATTAGATGTTTCAGTTTCTTTCTTTGGTATGGTCTTAGATCTCTGCTTGATGACGAAATCAGTTCTTCCAGTTCCTTAGAAATGACCCCTAAGTTTTCCACGGCTGGCATATTTCGAATGATTGCAGAAACTGGACAGCAGTGTCCCAGCTCCGAGCCCTTCTTCAAGGACACAGGGTAATGACTGACATTCATTAGTCTCACAGGAATAGTCTTATCGGCATGCACAAAGGCCTTTGCAATGGCTATCCCTCGGCCAATAGCCTCGTCATGCATCCTAGGTTCAAACTTGACTATTTCTCCGTCTGTAGTCTGGCCCTCTACCGAGCCATTCAATACAACTTCGCTTCGTTCTGGGATCACGGTGTCTTCAGGCAATAGAACTCGTAAGTTTACATTCCCTTCCTGGTGTAAAACGACCTTCTCATTGTTGACTTTCAAGATTCCTTGCTTAAAGTTCAACTCGAAGTCCTGTGTGTCCATGATGTCCATTCCGATGATTACCTTGTCCTCAATATCAGCTACTATCGCCAGATGTTGTAGCTTTTCCTATTCCAAATGCGATGTTTGCTTCACCATACACGTTTGCTCGGTCTCTCGTCGCCGTTCGTAGTCGCCACTTGGATGATCGAATCTTCGCCGATGCTTTCACCATGCCGGACCTTATGATAGTCTTTGTCGCACCTGTATCCAGCAGTACGGTGTGGAGAGTCCCATCCTCAAAAGCATCGACAAAAACTATTAGACTGATGTTTAAGCGAGGAGACTTGGGCGGTAATAACCGATGGGGCTTGTTGGCTACATGTCGACGACAGCTCCTTCACATCGACCTCCCTTAGTTTTCCGGATTGGCCGGATGAGGACTAGCACCTTCAGGACAATGTCTCCTAACGTGCCCTATTTTTCTACATTTCCAACATTCCCACCTATTGTTCTGGAGGCGACGTTCACCATCACGCTCCTTAAAAATGCGCTTGAAGGACTCTTCGAACTCGTTATCTCCTGGTACCATCTGGCGGACTCGGACCTGGCTTTTATTTGTGTTTTTAGCGGCTTCGAATTCCCGAGTTAGCGCAGCTACTAGCTTAGAGGGATGTGCCAGTAGTAAGGTTTGCCCCATTTCACCATCACGAAGTCCATCCAGGAATGCTTGAACTGCCAACCGCTCCTTTATCCTTTCCTGAACATCGGAATATGCTAATCGTACCAACCGCGCAATCAAGGGCGGATTCAGGATTTCATCTAGGGGGGGGGGGGTGGCGCAAACGATATTTGGGGCTGGTCATCTTTTAACCTCAGTGGAACTTCTAGAATTTATCCTATTATTGCTCCTTAAATCCATTGTGTTCTATCTAGTCAAGGCCAGCTTGAAAAAAAAAACATGGAAATTGCTCAGAGAGCCAATATTTTATCATATGAGAACAAAATACGTACGTGACATTTGTAATTAACTAGTGTAATAATATTAAAGATTCAAACATAAAAAACTTCATTGCTCTGTTAACCGACAAAAAAATAAAACATTCTGAGCGACCCCGGCGAGGCATATCCCAGTCCATTCCACACAAAACAATGTCTATGACTGCGAAAACGAACATGAGACCAAGAACCGCCAAGAAAAGCATGGCGGGACGATTGGATTGCAAGTATTGATGAACAGCATCAATGTTGCTGTTAATCCCGCAGATGTTCGTGAAAAAAATTTTATCCTCGATGTTGTTCCCTCGAGTCCACCCTCCACCCGAAGACTCTGAGAGTGGAGTGAGCTTACATCCGGACTTCTTAGTACTCGAGGGATCCATCATCATTAATTTCTTTGTTTTGGAAGATAACCGACTGCATAGCTTAGGTGTGGAAACATGCGGACATTTATAAGACACCCTGGGAAAAGCTATAGGGTGGTACCGCCTCGGTCGACTGGTCCTTGTCTACCATCTTCTTTGTGTTAATGACATTAAATAGACCTAAAGTGGCCCATTGGCGGACTTGTACCGCCACCCGGCAACCGGTACTGAGGTATTCCTTAACGCGTGTACAATCACTTGTAAGGGAAGAAGTTGTATGCTGGATACAACAACTTCCGGAACAAGCATTTTCCAAGGCCCCGCTCAGTAGGGGTTGGCGTTTTTGAAATTCGGCATAGTTGTTTTCTCAGTTTTCGAACCGGTGTTGATTGCATGAAATGTTGGAGATCCTTGGAAAAAACTATATCTGTTAGATCGTAATTAGTTTGATAATGTATGTTTGCACTAAACAAGTACAGGAGTACATGGCTGTATATATTCACGTATAGTGCAGCAGCTCTGTGATTTAAACGAATTTAATATAGCAACATAAATAGACACATACGCGAGAAGAGATGCGGGATGTGTGGTATTGATTTTGAGCATCGATCGACGTTTCTAGACAGGCCAGAGGCGCTCCGCTAAACAAATCTCATAAATGTCTATTTCCAATTTAGGCATTCATCTAACATAGTGCTTCGCTGCCACACCAGCCCCGACACAAAATCAGTCGAGCTTTACACACTTTTCAAATTACTATTGAGTAACAATCAGTAACATAAATCACTTTTTAAGTGCAATCTGTATAACTAATATACGTACATTACCCAGACAGATTTGTAACAAGTCACAATACTCGTATATACGTATAAATCGTAAGAGTTGTACTGTAAACAAGTGATGTCAAAGAGGGACAGCATTTGGAATACCAAAGGATACCAAAAAAATCATAATGCTCAGTTCATATAGCTATAACTTGTAGTTAGTATGCCTCTGTCACCATGATGTGACAGAAAGTAACACGATGGTGTTAGATTGCAAAAGCAAATGTCAGACGTCTAGGGAGGGGCGCGCGCCCTCTAAATCCGCCAGTGCGCGCAATATCCGCTTCGAACTCCTGCAAGGACTCGCCTGACTTCTGGAACCGATTCTTGAGTTGAGTATGGTAGACACGTTCTAAATATGACTGGCCATATCGCATCTCCAAATGTCCTACTAGTTGTTCGTAGACCTCTTGCTCTTCGGGTGATATTCTTTGAAGAATAGCTGCAGCATCTCCTCGTAGGGCCAAAGTGAGTGCAGTTGCCTTTTCGGTCGACGACCAACCATTTGCATTCGCGGTTGCCTCAAACTGACGTCGGTACACATTCCAAGGTGTTGTACCATCAAATTGAGGCGGTTTCATTCGCAGATGACCAGCTGACCCAACAGAAGCTCCAACCTCACTTGATTTTCCCAACGGAAGTCCACGCTGCCGTTCGTCGATGGTCTTGACGTCTAAAGCGGCAAACTTGCCTTGCACTTCTTGAATTCTGTCCTCCAAAGTTTCTAAAATCCGTTTTTCCAACTCGCAAGATTTTTCCATAATTTTATCTTTCAATTCTTTTTTTAAATTGGCAGTATTTTCCAAAAACTTCTCTTCTAATTCGGCTGTACTTTCGTGTAACTCCAAGAGTTTTCCTTCTAGGTTCGCAAAATTTTCCACGAGACTATTTTCTAACTTCGCTGAGTTTTCTAAAAGATCAGCACAATTTTCCATGAGCTTGTTTTCTAACTTGGTCGAAGCATTAAACCAATATCCCCTGCACCGGTAAAAATGAAAATATCCGGGTCCTCACCTTCCTCAATCAGTGCTTGACGAAGCCGCTCTTGTAATTTTGCTTTCTTTCCAGCCGTGTCGCACTCTCTTTCCTCCAGCTCTCTCTTTAAATCGGCAATTTTCAAATCAACCAATCGCACCATTCTTCCTTCACTGATCGTCCGATTTATTTTCACTGAATGTCCAATAATCCACCCCCCACACCTGACACCAATGTTGCGTTTTTCTGGGTTCTTTTGGGTGTGGATCAAAACATTGGATTCCACAAAAAGAAATGCACTGATTTATTTAACTTGATAAAACATTTATATACTCCACTATTTATGTCTGACTAATTCTTATGCCACCATTGACTGCGCTATACCTCACTCCGCTCTGCTACTCTACCGTATTCCGTTCTCTCTGCCTCCATCTCCCGGCCGCCGAGTTATATATAGTCCCAATTGCTACTTCGAGAAAGAACGAGTGTCCCACAAAGCGATATCTAGAATGTTGGAGATCACTTCGCGTCGATCTAGAAGGCTGTCACGGTCCTCACAGACGCCGCCAGGCGGCTTGTGCGGTCGTGTAAAAGCAGAGATCGGCAATCGTCGGCAATGAAGCTCTGGCGAGTAGGAGTCTCGCCCAACAGATGGCGCTATTTGTTACAATACTTTGTTTCGGTGAATGTGATATGACTGATATTGATATCTTTTATACACCCATGAGTCCAATTAGGGATAACTTTCCGAAAGTGTTTTGTTTCGCTAGATGTGATTTCTTTTATATTGTTTGTGTGAATTTTTCTTTCTTGATCATTAAAACCACTTACACACACTAAACATAATATATGTTAATGTATAATTTATTCAATGCTACTCTAGGTTCTAGGCCCTAGATATTCGTAGACTTTGAGAAAATTCGATAGGTTTGGCTAAGATCTTTCGGTATTTTAAATACCGGTACAATTTTTCCAATATACCGAATAACCGGTTTTTCCTAACGGTATATCATTTGATGCCAAATACCGGTATGTTTAAAAATGTTGCCATCCCTAGAGATAAGGGGTTAAGCTGTGTAGTAAAGGATAAAGGATATACAGGCATTCGTCTGAAGTCAATTCTGTCGCCAGGGAGGATGTGGCTGGTGGCTCTCGGAAATCTATAATCTAGTACGCGCAGAAAATGGCGTAAAGCGTGTTTCCTGTTTTTTAAAGATATACCCTCAGAATCTGAAAATAATTTTCTGCGCAATGAATTTACTATAACTTTGTCGACGTCACTTCGTAGCTTTGCTTTTGCTGTATTTCTGTGAAGGCTGTGAAGTAGCGTCAAAACTCAAAACATGAAACTGTCACTTGTCAAGCGACCGATGTGATAAGATACGTCAAAAATTCCTTGATTTTTTTTGTTTTCCTAATATTTTGATAATATACTATTTACGCTACTGAATTCAAAACTAATTTACATTTTCCGCGTTGCTCGTCGACCTATTGACTTTGAGTTGCACACGGAGTTGCGTATGATGCTTTCTGATATGCAGCCGTTCACAGCTTTTATGGTAAGATCACCTGTATGAAATGTTTTTCTACTATTGAACTTTCGTATTCTTCTAGAATGTCGAGAGCACCCGCTCTTATATGGACGATTTATATTCCCAGGATCCTAATAAATGCTTATCATCGATAATATGCATCAAGAACTCCGTCATAGGATCAAATCGCCAAAAAGAAAGCGTAATAGCCCAGGGCATAGTTCCACGTCTCATAGCACTGTTGAAGGATAAAGAAATGAAGTCCGAAGTTCGGATAGAAGCTGCGGTGACCATTGGCTCTCTTGCCAAAGGTACAGAAGACCATATTGAACTTCTAATAAACTCTGGAATAACACAAGTTTTGTTGGAGCTTTTGGATGAATCAGAGGCGAGATTGATAGACTCTTGTCTATGCTGTTTGCGCACTCTTTCACACAACTCCAAGATCACTGAAACAAACTACACACCCCAACACTTGACCAAATTGTTGGCTTATGCTGGTGCTAGAGAAAGTCTGCAGCGCCAATCATGTGTAGCAAGTATCTTAAGTGCAATATGCAAAGGTACATCAGAACAAAATGCTCTATGCTCTGTTGGAGCTCCAGCAGTTCTGGCTGCCTTATTGTCAGTCCAAAATTATTCTGTAAGAATACCAGTCGTAACGTGCTTGGCTACTATGTGTTTCAACAACTCTGCAGTTGCATTAGAGATAGTGCACACCTCGTGCAAAGATATAAAGGTACCTAATTATCTGGCTACTTTGATATCAAGAGATAGGCCGATTGAGATGCAACTTGAGGCAGCCAAATGTCTCACCAATCTGCATAGAGCTGGAGCAATACCAGCTTATGATCCAATTATCACTTACAGGACCTTGCCTTGTTTGGTTCGACTATGTCAGGTATGTATTAATGATATAACAATTTATACTTCTCTTACCTACTGGTAGGGAAGTATTGTAATCACAAAAATTTTCAATAATGGGATATTATTTTTTAATGTTATATGACATCTATGTTACATTATAAAAAACCATGTCACTCATTTCTGTCAGTCCATATGTTAGTTGGCCTTACTGTCTGTCTGCTACTGAGCAAATTATTTTTAATATATAATCAGGGAAAAATTAAATTATTTTGAAAAAATTTGTTTTTTTCTCTATCTTTATTTTCTTAATTACCACAATGTGTAACTGCCCCCAGACTGACTTTGCCTCTCTTACGATTTCCAAGATCCCAATGGTGAGGATCCAATTTGAAACATCTTATTATATATTTTCAAAGCTACATCTTCCATAGTTAGATAAATTATTGTTGCTATAGTGAATGTAATTTTCTTTAAATTAACAAATATCTAAGTAGTACTCTGTGATTTAGGCTACAATTATATATTGTATCTTTTAAATATTCTGATTTGAGAATGTTAACATATTTGTTGTTTATGTGTTATTGAATAAATTTCACTATAAACAACAAAAATTTTTGCCAAATAGTTGTCTAAAAATAGGTCATATTAGTCTATAAATAAGCTATAGTAAATTCTGTATAGCAGCTATACCTAAATCTAGAATATGCAAACAAATGCATATACATAGAATAAAAATGGTGTTTCATAAAGAACAGTAATTGTTCTTTTATAATAAATGTAGATACCCATATGCTTGACACTCATTGGACCTTTTGAGTAGGTTCTTAAAGGAGTACCAGCATTAGATGTTCTTTTCCCTATAGGAGCTGCCTCAACAATACCAAAATTCAACAAATTTCATTTTATTATTTGATTGTTTGGTAATTTTGCCGCTTAGTTTAAACAGTTATTCAATGAGCACAGGAATTTCACTATTAGCATATCTAATTTCTTCAGTGTGTAATACCTATTATGTTGTTAATATACCTATGTTCAAATCTAATGTTTTGTGATAATAGGTTACATAAATTCACTTTGATTAACTAGAACTAGCAAAAAAACTTCTATTAAAATCTTATACTGGCAATTGACAAAAATTCATATAAAGTATCAAGTCTATCTACTTGATATGATTTTTCCTATAGGAATTTTTGCATATATTAGCAGCTTATCCATATAGTTTGAAAAAAAAAATCATCACCAATTTTCTGACTCACTTCAGATCATTATAATGATGTTGTAGTAGTAGTGGTGGTGGGGAGGCGAAGCTTGGCAACTAGGCAACCTTAAAGCCATTTTGCTGACCTCACAGCATCAACATTGTACTACTCCACAAGCGATTTACTGTGTATCTATCGTTAATATTGTACCCAGGTGCATGATATAGGCAACTCACAACTTAACATATGTCACTAAATTAACTTCTGAGGCGGAGCTTCAAACCGGCGAGCCCCGTGGTGCTAGCTCGACACGCTAACCACCCAGTTACCAAGGATAATGATGATAATAATAAGAGTATAATGCCTTTATTCAATTTGTATAATATACTTAATTTAGGGCTCAAGAATCAATATGGCAGAGTGTTACCATTTTTCAACTTATCCAAAAACCTACATATGCAATTTTTTGTTTGATCATCACATTGTTTACATTTCAGGTGGAGCATTCCAAAATGCACAGAGCTATAGCAGCAGACACTTTAGCATATCTAACTGAAGTTGATAGCAATCTGCAACAGGTTGCAGCTATTAGTAACCAGTTGGTCAGTGCTTTAGTTGATCTGCTCAAGTGTCCTTCAGTTGAAGCCAGGAGAGCTGCCTTCAGGTATGTTGTGTATTTCAGTGTTGTCTTGATTTAGAAGATGGACTACCAATACACAAAAATCCAATATTCAGTAGAGGTCTTGTTACAAAGTTACAAATGGTATCCTATAGATCAGGCCTCTCCAACTCGGGTGCCACCAGTGCAGCCGCTCGCAGCACAGTGCTGCGGGGTTACTCCGTGAATGTGGGGGAGGGATTAGGCAGCGGCATACGCATCGCGAGGAAGGTGTTGTGCTAACCCTAGCACCCTGCGAATAGAAATGACCCGGGAGCTGGTGGCATTGAGTATACCTTCATCGCGGATTCGACTAAATTCAGTAATAGTATGTAGTTTTTAAGTAAATGAACAAGAAGAGCTCAGTAAGCCGGGACGCAACCTGCCAGAAGTACCTGTCAAACTGACTTAAAGATACAGCGTGACAAGAGAATTTCACCGTGCTCACCAAATCCAATGAAGCCTACAAGGTTTGATGGAAATTTTAGGCTCATTTGGAATAACATGGTATGACAAACTGATTTCCGCCAGAAGTTTCTGTCGTACCGACTGAAAGCTATAGCAGGCAATGCAAATAGATAAAAATAATACATTCTGTTTGTATGCTTCATGCTTGCATTTAAAAGCTCATTTGAGTCTGTCAGTTTGACACCAGGCTTCTAGATGTTTGAAAGTATGTACGTATGTAAAATGAATATCAAACGTCATGACCGTTGATATACGTATATGTTAAGGTAAAATCCTACCGTCACGTTGTTTCTTCAAGTCGATATGACAGGTACTTTCATCGCCATACCAAGCCCTTTTTGTTCATTTAGTTTGAAACTTCATATTATTACTAAGTTTAGTCAAATCCGCGATAAGGTTTAATTTCGCCGGCTCCCAGCCCCAACGGGAAATGAGTGGAGTGACATACGTATTGACATTTGAATTGGTCTGGTCGAGTCAACGCGCGGGTGATAAAATAATGTTCATAATTTCGACGTAAACGCATTTATTCTTAAGGTGATCTTTGACAGCATTTCGATTGAACAAGTTTTCTAAGATTTGGTACAGTGGCTTGAGCAGTGGAAATTCTGAGTATTGCCTCTAAGGACACATTAGACAAAGACCTTAGTTTTGTTCAAATTCATTAAAGAAAATATCTGCTTGCAGAAGTACATTGTACCGAACATATAGCAAGTTTCCAAGGCCAGTGCAAGAATTTTGGGAAAATCTTGCAGCTTAATACCTTGATAAAACGAAATTAAATTACTATTGTAGTGGTAGATCTAACCTTAAGGATCGTAGCGCATTGAAGCTTAATCAGCTCCATTTGGAACTGCAGCGGTTCTATTTCGAAAAGCACTGAAGATGGCATCGTAAAAATCTCATTTTTATAAACATCTCAACGTCGTCAATGATTAAAAAAAAAAACTTTAGCACTTTTGCGCAGCTTAACCAGCGCGTAACACAATGCTTCCGATAACATTGCTGGCGCTCCATCAGTAACAACACTACGCAAACTTTTAAGTAGTATACCCATGTCATTCATTGTGTATTCTACAGCATCAAAAATATCTTCTCTGGCCATTGTATCTTTGAGCGGGATAACGTCTAGTAGTTCGTCGGTGATAGTAAAGACTATTTCGACACCTCTAACGAAAACAGCTAATTATGCTGTGTTAGAAATGTCTTTACTTTCATCGAGAACTATAGAATACTGCACAAAATGGGCACATTTTTCCGCAGTTGTTCTTTTAAATCTGCACCAAGTTCAAGTATCCGACGAGAAATTGTTTGCTCGGACATACTAATTGTCTCAAAGTTGCTTACAGGAGATGGGCACAATATTTCTGCACACTCCACTAAGCATTCTTTGCCAAGTGCACCATCAGTAAACGGTCTCCCACTTTTTGCGATTTTCAAAGCAACAATATAACTTGCATTACGACACCATTAATAATAATCAACTACGACCAAATTAATAATTACCTCTTCAAAACTTAGAAGGGCGGGCATCAATACCGTGTGACAAATTAAATATTTTGCTTTTCCATCAGTATTTACAAAAAATAGGCTTCTTCCATGCAGGATTGATTGACATCGTTTAAAAAAAGATGCACGTTAAGACGCTAAAAAACCTATCCACTTTGTCTTGTCCTATTAAGTAATGGCCCGCGCCCATGAGACAGTCGGCTAATATGTTTGTCTCTGTCGCGATGGCTGTGCGGTCGAGGTGGAGGGGGAACGGCACCGGTGCCGCTGGGTTCAGCACCGGAGCGCACCAGCACCAAGTGCTCGAGTTGGAGAGGCCTGCTATAGATGCTATATAAACACTATTGTGAATATGAAAATGACAACACTGTCTATAAATTGGTAAAGTAAAGGCTGAGGCATCCCTTATGTTGATGCTAGTCGACCATCATCAAGCTAATGACTAACTGCCAATTTCATTCCAGAATCATAAAGAAGCTATCATAATTTTTTCTCTTGGTAGGTAACTGTGTAGCACTGGAATAAGATAAGTCAAACAGTTAGGTTAAGGGTACCCCAGGGATCCAATCTGGGTCCACTTTGTTCATAATTTTTATTAATGACATCGTCAAATGCAAAACTCAATGTCTAGTACTATATGCTGATGACAGTATGCACATCTGCAGTGGAAGTGAACTTGAAGACCTTAGCCAAGAAACTGCAATGCAAGTTTGGTTCTATACAAATATAGCAGCCTTGAACAAAGACAAAACACATACAATGGATTTCTGATTGGTATATCATGGTAAAAAGCTATGTAAAATCTCGTAGCTTCCATCTGGACCGTTGCTTGAACTGGGAAGGGCAGGTCAATAACCTCACCAAAAAACTTAGTGATCTAGTTAATTGTGTGTTTCAGAATGTCATATTGCAAGCTTATCATAGCTACTTTCACTCCCATATTTCATGGAATACAGTACATGCTTCTAGAGTGTTTGCAATGCGTGTGACTTTACCATTTATATACATATATCTTGGAGCGTTTTGTGTATTATATGGGAAATATAATCAACTACATTAGAATCTTGGACTTTTATAGCTACCAAACCACATTTAGTCGAAATGTAGTAGTTCCATATAGTACTATGGTCTTTAGTTTTACATGTTACCAGAGTCAGTGAATTCACTAAATATGGAACATTTTAAGTAGGCACTCAAAGGATACTCAATTAGGAAAGCCTTTTATAACATTTTATTTTATGTATCTGTTTTAATGTGTCTTGCATTTGCTATGAATGTTTCTTCAATCCTATATTTTACGTATATTTTAAATCTAACCACTATTCTCTTTTTGACTTGTGTAATGCTATTGCATATACAACACCAATAATCATTATTATCAAATAAGGATGCCTGTAAGTCTATTCATATGATAGACGAAAAATCCCCTGGTACGCGGAATAATTGTATTGTTTGGTTTTATCAATGTAAGTTATTTAGGAGAAAATTTAAAACATGGTCACATAAAACGGGCAGCTCAACTATTGGGGAAAAACTTCAAAGTATTTTCGAGTATGTCCATGAACTTGACTATGGCCATCAAGGTCATTTGAACATTAAATGAATTTTTAACGAGGATCGACTATTCATGATTCTTGAAATATTAATTATGGACAATTTTACGCTCAAGTATATCCGTGACCGACCATGACTTTCAGAGTCAGATTAAGAGCAGATAAATATGTGAATAAACTCTACATTTCAATTCATCAATCAATCAATTTATTGTTGTATCAACATGCTGGATAAAAATGTGTTCATTGCCAAAGTAACTATTGCATTTCTTTGAATATTGCATCTCCTTCTCCAAAACCAATCTCCTTCGCACTAATCTGAAACATATTCCTGTGGTTTACACTACTTCCACACGAGTTTTTGATAATAAAAATCGTTATTAGAAAATGCTATTCACGACAAGAATTGTCCTTTGAATTATAAACAGGAAGACTTTTAGAAAGAGAGATAGAAGCCGCCTGGATAGCGAAGCTCATCCTCGCTGATGCGGCAATCTGCCAATATGTTACACTAGTTCCTTGAATCAAGATTCATATTGAATATATGCATTAGTTTATTCTTAATGCCAAAATAATGATTTTATTTGAGCGTACACATTTATGAATTGTGTCGAATCTGTTTAGGATTGATTGCCGATCGGTCTTAACGGCGCTCTATTTTAGGTCAGGATCGCCACAAATTCTGCAACATTTCTTCATTTGATAACACCGCATCTTTTACATTCCAGGAAAAAGTTTCCATCTCCATAATCATGGTTTAGCGATTTTGGTCAGTACCCATCTAGCGGCCCTAGGGACTTTCACCTACGTACACGCAGGCAGTGATAATTTGTATTGCGTAATGATATTTGTTACATTTTCCGACAGTTCGCTCTCCCAAAATCTAACAATAACTCAGGATGTGTTCATTTTATCACCATTGCTGTAAATCAAAGATAATTCTAAAATAAATTAAAACACTTAAGACGCTTCAAAATTGAAATAAACATTTCTAATCAAAATGAAAATAAAATATTAAGTTAAATGTTCGAATAGACTTCCTTCTTGGGTTTGGCAGTAACCATTGCTAGGCAATGTTGTGATGACCTTCGCTGTTCAGCCGGCTTCTGTCTCTTTCTAACCTGCGTTGATACACCCTTCTCGCGCGTTTCTCTCATACACATTGATCTCAAGCCGTCAGACAAATTTGGTTTTCCCTTTATATGGTGTGGTTCAAATTTTGTTGACGTTGTAATGTGTACGAGAGAGAAGAACACACGTATTGCACGCTTCTCTCTCGTACACATTTTGACGTCAGTGGTATTTGGTTTTCAGCGTATACACTCATCAAATATTTCCCGGTACATTTGCCCTATAACTTACAAAAATATTTATAGACGAGACACACGGTCTGTCGGGACGATGGGCTGCCAGATGTTCGATACTTACGGCAGGGAGGAAACTAGCGTTAGCGTTCTCAAATGGCTGGAGACTATCGAGTTAATTGTATATGGTTGACTTGACAAATATAATTTTTTCTGTTATACATGCTTGTAGCTACCTCAAAGGGGCTAACTTTGGCCGAACATAATACTTTATGAACTGATGACGAATAGAATTAATCATTACTACAATTATTATACAAGAGGAAATATAGATTTTCATTTACAAAATTGCAATAGTAATATAAATAGCAAATCAATATTTCAGAAAGGCTTATTTGAATTTAATAAACTAAATAATCATATAAAGTCTACTTGTAATTTAAAGATGTTTAAAAGAAAATTAAATGAATATTTCATGGACGGTGAAAATTCTTTGTTTTTTTCTAAATATGTAATGTAGCAATCATGGTAAATAAATCTTAAACAAACAAAATTACAGCACGTGGGAAGTGCAGAGTAAACCTACTGGAAGCAAATTTTTTTCAGGGCTTTTGCATCTCTAGCAGCTAACGATGAAGATATTAGAAAACGGATAATTGACACAAAATGTCTAATGGACAGGGTTGTAGATGGTTTAGGTGATGATAATAAGGAAATAAGATTGGCTGCAGTAAGGTGTTTGCACTCGCTAAGCCGTTCAGTCCAACAGCTAAGAACAACATTTCAGGATCATTCTGTTTGGAGACCCCTGATGGTACTTTTAACAGGTATGTACAGATTTGTAGTCTCCATTTGAGAAAATATCCACATTGATATCAATTTTATCTATTCAGCAGTGTATTTGTTAGCAATAGAAACCTTTGACAGATTCAACAATATCAATAGATAGATAGATATGCTTTATTGTCGATCTAAAAATTAAGACATGCATGTAGTTGTAGGATTGCTTTTAGTTATATAATAGTTTGTTTTTGTAGAATAAGTACTTTTTTAAAAACAATTACGGAAATAGACACACCAAAATGGCATGCTATACCACAATCTACTTTCAAATAACAGGCAAAGTAAATGCTTATGCCTGTGCTTTTACCTATGATGTATCTTATTGTTCCTATAATAAAGGAAATCTTTGCTAGTTGAGTAAGCAATTGGTCCACATGATTAGTAAAATTTAATTTATGATCAATGATCAGTCCTAAAATTATGGTGGTTTCTGTTTTGTGCATCAAATAATTATTTAAATTTATAAAATCAAGGGAGCATTTCAATGTAAGAAATTTGGAATTGCTACATTTATAGTCAAGTAATTGTTATGACACCATTTTTAATTAATTATACATGTATATCACTGTCAAATGTTGACCTAATTTGATTTAAATCTGTGTTTTGCCGAAGTATTGTAGTATTTTTAGCAAAAACTATGAATTAATCATTTATGTTTAAATGTATTAAATCGTTAATATAAACTAAAAATATGATCAGACCTAGTGCTGATCCTTGAGATACCCCTGCTTTTATATTTAATTTATTTGAAGTATAGATATTCTTACAATCTGGCATTGATTATTTAAACACTTTTCAAACCAAATGAGTGCAGTTCCAATACAACCATATTTGTTTAATTTTTGTAATAGTGTATCATGATTTACACAAACCAAAGTTTCTGAAAACACAAAAATAGCAACCAAAATCTGTTTATCTTTTAAATTTGAGTTTAACTATTGGGATAATCTTAAAATAGCATCCATGGTATTTTTTTTTTGTTGAAAGCCAAATTGGTTGTCCCTTATAATTTTGTTGATTTTTAGAAAATTTCTCAATATACAGTAATTGACAAAAGTATATAGACAAATATGAATATTTACCTAAATACCTTTAGAAAACGAATTCATACTTCATTGCTCCATAAACAAATGCGTTTATTAGTAGAAAAACTTAATTCCTTTGTTTTTACATTATCTGCAATGAACACAATACAAGTCTGAATATAAGCACTTTTTTATGAGGGACAAAAATATGTAGACAAATTCTTTTCAAGATTAGTTTAGTACAGTTTCGTGTCAGAAGAGAATTAGTTTGTGTTCATCAAGTATTGTGGAATAAGTTGTGTGATTTTAAGACCATGCCGCTTGGTCCTGAAATTTCTTTCGAAGTGAAAACTAAGATCATTGCGTTATACAAAAATGATCAACGTCAAGTCGACATTGCCAAAATTTTGAAGCTGAAGCGTAAAGCCGTTTTTTTTATATCGAAGCAGCTGCGCAGGCAGAAGCCTAAATGCCGGAACACCGCGGCTGCTATGATGATCCCAAAGAACTTTGTTAATACGATTTTTGAACTGCTTAAGGTTAATATAACTTGTAGATTGCTCCACAATCTCGACACCCTTGGGACAAAGGAGCGGTCGTATCGGCCAGTTCTGGATGTACGAAGTTCGACACGGTTAGGATGGGATGCCAAAGTCAGGCGGGTCTGTCTGGCAGGCACATCGCGCGGCGGCATCATGGAAGAGAGCTCTGAGGAGCAAAGCCCGTTGGTGTAACGGTAGAAAAGAACTAGATCGCCTACAGCCCGCCGGTGCGAAAGAGTCCCGAGACTATCTGTTAGAGAAGAGTCATCGACCAGTCGGACCGCCCTCCTGTGGACAGCATCGAGCATGGATAATGTAGTCGGGGCGGCAGCACCCCAAACGTGTGAGCAATACTCGAGGCTAGGCTAAGGCTAGGATAAGTCTGGGCCTTGTATACAGTGAGAAGGTCATGCGGAGAAAAGTACTTCTTAACCCTAAACAAATAGCCTAGATTTTTCCCAGGGGCTGCAGCTATTGACGAGATGTGTTCGTGCCAGATCAGGTCCTCGGTGATCTGGACTCCGACCAGCCGAAATGAATGGTTCTTTGGCAGAACTCGGCCATCCATCGAAACCGTGTGAGCGCAGGGACGCTCTTTGTTCGTCAAAGTACAGTACTGTGTTTTGGAAGCATTGAACTGTACCAGATTGTTGCGTCCCCAAGCAGTGATAGCCTCCAGGTCTCTTGTCAGAGAGGAAGTCATCGCTAGTCTTCTTTTTTCCAACTCAGCGGCAGAGATCGGTTTGTCACTCTGAATTCCTACATGTAGAGTGCTGTCATCAGCGAAGCTGTGGATTGGGTTGATCGTGCAGGAAAGGAGGTCGTTGTTATGTAAGAAAAACAGTGTCGGAGCCAAGACCGATCTCTGGGAAACACCCGCGTTGACGTTGTGGGATGAAGAGGAGAACCCGTCAATTACGACGGATATCTTGCGGCCAGAGATGAAGTCAGCCACCCATCTGCAAAGCTTTTCTGGGAGGCCATAGGATGGAAGTTTGCTTAAGAGGGCACCGTGCCACAGGTGGTCGAACGCCTTCTTGATGTCAAGAGCAACGACATGAGCCTCACCATAAGACTGGATGAGTTTACTCTACAATTGAGTGACGTAAGCTAGGAGGTCCCCTGTGGATCGTTGGTACCGGAAACCATACTGCCTTTCGCTAATCAAGCTGCGACGTTCGAGGTAGTCCAGAAGCTCGCGATTTATGCACCTCTCCATCACCTTACTTAAAACAGAAAGCAGAGCTATAGGCCTGTAGTTGTAATATAAACAAAAAGGTATCTTGGAAGCCTCTAAGAGAAGTGGTCGGCCTAGAAAACTAAATGCTAGACAAGTTAGATTAATAAAAGTAATTTCGTCCAAAGATCCGCTTAAAACCTCAAGACAAATAAAGCCGAAATCGAGATAAAACGAATTGCCAGTGTTTCTACGAAAACTATAGGTAGAAGATTAAATGATTAGGAGTTATTTGCCCGTCGCCCGAGTAAGAAGCCTCTAATCTTTAGGAAAAACCGTAAGGACCGATTACAATTTGCACGGTTGCATCTTGATTGGAGCATCTGTAACTGAAAGAGGGTATGTTCCAGTGACGAATCCAAGTTCAATATGTTTGGATCAGATGGTGTTCATTACGTTAGACGTCCTAGTGGACAAAGATTGAACCCCAAGTACACTTTGCGCACTGTCAAACATGGAGGCGTGTCTGTTATGGTTTGGGGGTGCTTTTCTGGGTTTGGGTTGGGACCTTTACATAGAATAGATGGCATTATGGATAAGTTTGTATACACAGACATACTAAAGCATGTCATGTTACCCTATATGGAAGACAATATGCCCTTAACATCAATCTTCCAGCAGATAATGACCCCAAGCACACTTCAAATCTCGCAAAGAAATTCTTTCTGGATGAAAAAATACCAGTTCTCAGATGGCCTTCACAGTCTCCCGATATAAACCCCATTGAAAATATATGGGAATGCTTAGATACGCAAATACGAGAGAAAAATTATTTAAACAAGGATGAACTTTTTGTCGCTTTCGAGCAAAGCGGAGACAGATTGATGAATCTTATATCAAGAAACTTCTACAATCTATGCCGAGACGATGCCAGGCGGTGATTGATAATAATGGTTATGCTACAAAATATTAACACAAACATGGTTGGTTTTCTATAATTCAATGAACTTTGCTTCTTTTTTCTATAATTGTTTTGCTTTGTCTATACAGGGTGACTTCGAAGTTGAGTCATTTATTTTAACAGTGAGTAGATCTGATCAAAAGAAATGTTTTTTTCCTTTAACATTTTTCTGGTAAAATTAAAGTAACAAAGTTATAGCCCTTTAGAAGTTTGAGTACCGCCCTGTCTCAATAATAATATTATGTGTTTGGCAACAACGGATATCGGTTCATCGCATCGGAAACAAAAAAGCGAATGAATTTGAAACGTTTATCACGTTCTTTTTCGTCAGTCGGTAACGCGTGGATGAATAGTGATGTTTGTTACGTGACTCAAACGAAATGAAAAATGGCACATGGGGGGGGGGGGGGGTGCGGGCAGTCTTTACAAAATGTTGCCGGATGCATCACGGATTTATGCGAATCGGTTTCCCAATCGAGTGCAACCAACCCTCGTGCCTTTGTTAATGTAGTACAAAGGGCTCGTGAATCAGGTGACTTAAGACCTCACAGGTGAGAGCATGCAGGTGCTCCAAGACCGCACGATCAAATACAGGTCCGCACTGAAATACTTGTCGGGATGATACTTTATTAAACAAGGTAACATTTTTTTTTATTTTTTTTTTTATTTTTACATTTTACAATCATTATCTGGAAATTAATGACTCAACTTCAAAGTCACCCTGTATATATATATATATATATATATATAACTTGAGACGTGGTCATTGTCGTCTAGACCAGTTAGGTGAAAAATTATATATATACAATGGGTCACAACATACCGATATTTAAGAGGGGTATTTTGCAGCTATTTTTATCGACAAATCCACCCCCTACAATGCCCTCCATCAACCCCCTTGAAATGGCAGCCATTTTTTTTTATGTTACGATTACGGTAGTACATGTATGGAAATTGTAATAACTGAATACGTAAATGTCACAGAAAGATAAACTTGGTGTCATTTGAACGATGACATGTTATCCTAGCGATAACTGAAAAAATTGTTTTGATACTAACCGTCAAACATACTTAAAAACAGACAAAAACAGAAAAAAAAATAAAGAAGAAAATTGAATATTTTGTGCATTTCTGCACACCATTCAAAAACTAGCCTGTGAAGTTGTACCTTTTTTATGCTAATTCTACAGCTTTTTGTTATCCTAAGTATTCCACGTTAAGCAATAAATGCTATCTAAGACGGGTCAAAATGGGTGTAATAAGATGCAAATTGTTATCAAACTTTTGATACATAAAAATGACAAATCAATGTTTCTTATAGAGAGTTTGGACATGTTTAATGTTACAGAAGCTGTTCAAAATGTCCTCCATTATTGGTTATGCACATTGTTGTTCTTAAAACAGTGTGTCGTGTTGAGCGGCAGACCATATTCGTGACAGCCCTAATTTCGCTCGCGGCGGTATAGATCCATTTCAAGGGGGCTGAGGTAAGACATTGTACGGGGTGGATTTGTTTATAAAATTAGCTGAAAAATATCCCCCTCAAATATCGGTATGTCGTGACCAAACACATTGTATATATAGTCAATAATGATATTGTTGTTGCTTCCTCGAATTACAGCGCAATCACAGAGAAATAAAAAACTGAATATAGGCAACCAGCTGCACCGAAATGCTCTGTTTCTGCTATCCGTTTTTATTCCCAATGATCCCTTTACATTTGTCTAAAATGTGGATCAAATGCATGTTCTTCTCGTTGAACTTATTTTTTTCATAGTCACACATAGTAATCCATAATAATATAAAATTTGTATGTTTTTTCAATGAAATATTGTGGTAGTTGACTGACAAACCTAATCTACAATCTCCAACCAGCAGAGGAGTTCCGTGCCACTGGTTGCCTATATATCCAGATTTTTTTACTTCTTTTGAGTGTGCTGTAGTTAGAGGAATCCAACACACTCTTATTGTGCATTGTTTATTGATATTCAGCTGAAATAAACAAAATCGTCCCAATTATATCTTCAGAATGCTAAAATAGATACGGTGGAGTGGCGCAATATTGGTACTAAGAAGTCGCCAAAAACAGTTAAAAGTAGCCTGGTTGCCAGACTTCCCCTCCTTATCACTACTACTACTAACATGTAAACTAAAGGATAAGTTTGAATAGTCATATACCGGGTGACTTTGAAGTTGAGTCATTAATTTTCAGATAATGATTGTAGAAGGAAGATAAACCAAAATATGTGTGTAAAAATAAAAAAAAAAAATTTTTTTTTTTACCTTGTTTTATGAAGTATCTTCCCGACAAGTATTTCAGTGCGGACCTGTATTTGATCGTGAGGTCTTGGAGCACCGGTATGCAGTCCCCTGTGAAGTCTTAAGTCACCCGATTCACGAGCCCGTTGTACTACATTAACAAAGGCACGAGGGGTTGGTTGCACTCGATTGGAAAACCGATCCGCATAAATATGTGCCATTCACGCGTTACCGACTGACACAGACTGAATAAAAACATCGTGATCAGCGTTTCAAATTCTTTCGCTTTTTTGTTACCGATGCGATGAACCGATAAGGCGGAGTATATCCGTTGTCGCCAAACACGAGCACATAATATTATATTGAGACAGGGCGGTACTCAAACTTCTAAAGGGATATAACTTTGTTACTTTAATTTTACCAGAAAAATGGTAAAGGAAAAAAACGTTCCTTTTGATCAGATCTACTCACTGTTAAAATAAATGACTCAAATTCGAAGTCACCCTGTATACAAGTGCGCGAGTTCCATATATATACCAGTATTCGAGATAATAGCCGAAAGTAGTCAAGGTTTTAATATCATATTGTTAGGAACTCGAAATTTTATCTACGAGTGTCAGCTGGGCCGACCGCTATCGGTCGGGTTGGGAGGCCACGGCAGAAATGGTACGACCTCCAGCGCGCTCGGGTGTTTGGCTGTCGT